GTCCTGGGTCTACAGCCTCGGTCCTGGGTCTACAGCCTGACTCCTGGGTCTACAGCCTGACTCCTGGGTCTACAGCCTGACTCCTGGGTCTACAGCCTGACTCCTGGGTCTACAGCCTGACTCCTGGGTCTACAGCCTGACTCCTGGGTCTACAGCCTGACTCCTGGGTCTACAGCCTGGGTCCTGGGTCTACAGCCTGGGTCCCGGGTCTACAGCCTGGGTCCCGGGTCTACAGCCTGACTCCTGGGTCTACAGCCTCGGTCCCGGGTCTACAGCCTGGGTCCTGGGTCTACAGCCTCGGTCCTGGGTCTACAGCCTGACTCCTGGGTCTACAGCCTGGGGCCTGGGTCTACAGCCTGGGTCCTGGGTCTACAGCCTGGGTCCTGGGTCTACAGCCTGGGTCCTGGGTCTACAGCCTGGGTCCTGGGTCTACAGCCTGGGTCCTGGGTCTACAGCCTGGGGCCTGGGTCTACAGCCTGGGTCCTGGGTCTACAGCCTGGGTCCTGGGTCTACAGCCTCGGTCCTGGGTCTACAGCCTGACTCCTGGGTCTACAGCCTGGGGCCTGGGTCTACAGCCTGGGTCCTGGGTCTACAGCCTGGGTCCTGGGTCTACAGCCTGGGGCCTGGGTCTACAGCCTGGGTCCTGGGTCTACAGCCTGGGTCCTGGGTCTACAGCCTGAGTCCTGGGTCTACAGCCTGGGGCCTGGGTCTACAGCCTGGGTCCTGGGTCTACAGCCTGGGGCCTGGGTCTACAGCCTGGGTCCTGGGTCTACAGCCTCGGTCCTGGGTCTACAGCCTGACTCCTGGGTCTACAGCCTGGGGCCTGGGTCTACAGCCTGGGTCCTGGGTCTACAGCCTGGGTCCTGGGTCTACAGCCTGGGTCCTGGGTCTACAGCCTGGGGCCTGGGTCTACAGCCTGGGTCCTGGGTCTACAGCCTGGGTCCTGGGTCTACAGCCTGGGTCCTGGGTCTACAGCCTGGGTCCTGGGTCTACAGCCTGGGGCCTGGGTCTACAGCCTGGGTCCTGGGTCTACAGCCTGGGTCCTTGGTCTACAGCCTCGGTCCTGGGTCTACAGCCTGACTCCTGGGTCTACAGCCTGGGGCCTGGGTCTACAGCCTGGGTCCTGGGTCTACAGCCTGGGTCCTGGGTCTACAGCCTGGGGCCTGGGTCTACAGCCTGGGTCCTGGGTCTACAGCCTGGGTCCTGGGTCTACAGCCTGGGTCCTGGGTCTACAGCCTGGGGCCTGGGTCTACAGCCTGGGGCCTGGGTCTACAGCCTGGGGCCTGGGTCTACAGCCTGGGTCCTGGGTCTACAGCCTGGGTCCTGGGTCTACAGCCTGGGTCCTGGGTCTACAGCCTGGGTCCTGGGTCTACAGCCTGGGTCCTGGGTCTACAGCCTGGGTCCTGGGTCTACAGCCTGGGTCCTGGGTCTACAGCCTGGGTCCTGGGTCTACAGCCTGGGTCCTGGGTCTACAGCCTGGGTCCTGGGTCTACAGCCTGGGTCCTGGGTCTACAGCCTGGGTCCTGGGTCTACAGCCTGGGTCCTGGGTCTACAGCCTGGGTCCTGGGTCTACAGCAGGGAGACTCACTGGGGTGTAGGGTCGGGACGTGCTGGCCCAGTCTGTCGTCTTTGAGCATGTGCAGTAGCGTCGTTTTCCCGGCATTGTCCAAACCCAGAAATACTAACTTCCCCGACTTCTTGTACAGTCCTGAAAACACAACACACAAAACATGCACGTGTTAGCTACAATACAGCATTTGATTCTGTGGACTCAAAGCTGATTGGCCGAGAGAGGGTGGACACTAGTCATCATTAAAGGGCCCTAATCTGTCGTCATTAAAGGGCCCTAATCTGTCGTCGTTAAAGGGCCCTAATCTGTCTTCATTAAAGGGCCCTAATCTGCCATCATTACAGGGCCCTAATCTGTCATCATTAAAGGGCCCTAATCTGCCATCATTACAGGGCCCTCATCTGTCTTTGTTAAAGGGCCCTAATCTGTCTTCATTAAAGGGCCCTAATCTGCCATCATTACAGGGCCCTAATCTGTCTTCATTAAAGGGCCCTAATCTGCCATCATTACAGGGCCCTAATCTGTCATCATTAAAGGGCCCTAATCTGCCATCATTACAGGGCCCTCATCTGTCTTCGTTAAAGGGCCCTAATCTGTCTTCATTAAAGGGCCCTAATCTGCCATCATTACAGGGCCCTCATCTGTCTTCGTTAAAGGGCCCTAATCTGTCGTTGTTAAAGGGCCCTAATCTGTCGTCATTAAAGGGCCCTAATCTGTCCTCATTAAAGGGCCCTAATCTGTCCTCATTAAAGGGCCCTAATCTGTCATAATAATAAACCGCGCTTTTCCAATACGTCTTTAACTGATAACAGTAGTTCAGAGATAATTGAATTTCTAAATTACTTTTCCAGCCTCTAAATCTTGTTATTGTTTTCATTTCGATGTCCCGCCCTCCACCGTTTCACCAATCAGAAAGTCTGTTATCCTAGCGCCAAAACTCACCGTGTGGAGCTAATCTCACTGGTAAAGTACCATGTGGAGCTAATCTCACTGGTAAAGTACCATGTGGAGCTAATCTCACTGGTAAAGTACCATGTGGCCGAGCTAATCTCACTGGTAAAGTACCATGTGGCCGAGCTAATCTCACTGGTAAAGTACCATGTGGCCGAGCTAATCTCACTGGTAAAGTACCATGTCGCAGCCGCTCACACTCTTCACACTCTTCAGACTCTTCAGACCGGTTCGACAGGAGAAACTGGAGAAACAACTTCTCTCAGAGCAACAGAATAACAGAAAGGGAAGGGACTGAAGTTCTGACAGAAATACTTTGTGTTTGGGCTTTTAGGGGGGATCCTTTTTCCACAGAGTCCTCAGTACTTTGACCGAAACCAAACACATTCATTATACAGACAATAACATACAGCATGAGACTGTGCAGGGCCAGCTCTGGACCACACGGTGCCTGAGGCCAACGAGCTGATGGGGCCCCCTACCTTTGTTTTAAATGAAAATCTAACAGGGGCCATATCGTCCTATTTGAGTCAAGCTGTAGAACTACCAAATGTATTTATGATCATTAAAAGTACATACCCAAAAATGTGATATTGTAAGAAAAAGCTTATTTTTATGGATTCACAGGCAAAATAAACGGACTTCTCCACATTTTATTCAGATCAGTGGAAATTCGATTTAAAAAAAGATAAATATTCATACAAATTTCCTAAACTTAAACTTTGATTGCCCCAGTAATGCACAATACTGAGGCCTCCATTGGTGATTATTTGAGGGGGGGGGGGGGGGGGGGGGGGCTGGTATAAAAGGCCCCAGCCCTCTGCTCCTCCTGCTCCGCCTCTGCTCACTGAACTGAACACTGAATATGCTTTTAGTGAATTTGAGAAACTGAAGAGAAATTATGTTATCACTTTCAATCCTACAGTGTAGTTTGGCGCCCTGTCCACTAGCTGGCGCCCTGGGGGGGGTCACCTCGCCCCTGCCCAGATCTGGTCCTGTGGTGGTTTTGTAAAGTGTTGCATGTTCTCCCAGCAGGGGGGGCTCTGGGGGGGCTCTGGTTACATTAATCCTTTGGCCTAAATCCTGTGAACAGCGTTAATCCGTTTGTCTTTTTAACCAGTGTTTTAATTGTTGCCTTTTATAATCTGACGTTTGCAAATTAACTATTTTCAGAACTTTGGAAACAGCTGTTGGTAAAAGTAATAAATCACTGTTTCTAAATCACAGTCATCATCATTCACAATGCAGTGATCTTTTGGGGAATAATAAACTGCTGTATTTTGTCGTAGCCTTTGGACCAGGGTTAGGGAGTTTGGATTAATTGATAGTTGTGTGTAATGTTGTACTGTGGATCTGTTATATCTGTTTTACTGATTACTGTCTTTATCTTCAGCTTATCTGAAGTGATGACATCTTCTGTTCTTACGCACAGTTATACACAAAGCTACGTCTCCTTTTGTTTGATCTGGAGGGACTCGAATAAACCATGGGTGCTACTGCCGTGTCTGTATTTGACAGTTGTATAAATTCCAAAAATGAGATGTATCTGAATATAATGCAGCCCCGGTGCATTTGACCCATCCTCCGGGGCGGCTCGGGCGTCTGTCATTCTGATGTGATGCTCTTCAGGACCACAGCTGGAGGATTTCAACTACAACACGTGTTTTTAGTAGTAGGAGAAACCAGAGCACGGGGAGAACATGCAAACTCCGCTCAGAAAGACCCTGTTCTCCTTGGGATTCAACCCTACACTTAATAATAGATTATATTTCAAGACAAAACACACAGCAGTCTTCACTAAAACCATGGCCTGTGTACAGATGGACAATGCTAACCTGCAAGCTACATGAAGCCCAAAAGGGAAGTGCTCAGGGTGTAGTTTGGCTCCTCATGTAAAAGTAAACTGCTCTCGCTCAGTAACGTCTGTGCCACACTCACCTTTTTGATCTTAATCTGTGGTTTAGAGCTCTCTGTGATCCTGAGATTTCTATTTTGATATTGTCTGTGTCAGTCCATGTATGAGCCATAAGGACTGTAAATGAGGAGTGACCCAAAGGAAGACAAATGTGGATAATAATGACTCTAAATCCATAAAAGATTGAACTGTAAATGAGTGGGAGACATGTCAAAAACACACCTCATACTGGAGTTACTCACCTAATAACTGTAGTACACTATTGAAACCGCTATAAATCCACTCGAAAATAAAGGACATATCCGGAGCTGGTGGGTCCTGCAAGAAACACAGAGTTAGAGTTAGTTCAGATGTTAGCGTCTTAAACCTGTAAAGAAGTCAGGCCACTACTCACACAACGCAGCTACAAAAGTGTATCAATCACTAAATATGTGTCCAGTGGGAAAAGGAGAAGGAAACGTATGAGCAGAAGTCATTTCAATGTAGATTTTGCATAGAAAGTCCCTAAACTAAACATGTGGGATCGTCGTGTTATGGTTAGCATCAGGCTCTGTATTAAAATGAAACTGTGGATTTGACTTGATAAGTGATGTAAGAGTCCGAGAGTGTGACAGGTCCCTCCTGTGTGGACCTCTGTCCCACATGACGTAAGCAGCTGAGGCCAAAGAGCAGTGAGTGAAAGAGCGTCCTCTGCCACACGCCTACACCCAGTGGCAGAGTGGTTAGCCTCATCGCCACAGGTTTGTGTCAGGACCAGAGGCAAAAGCTACGACCAAATATTAACAATTAGGATCATTTAAAGCGCTCATCAGGGGGGAATCCTGCGGCGTTCCCAGGCCAGCAGAGAGAGATACAGTCCCTCCATTTTAACATAAGAAGCTAATGCTAAAGCGGCCTCAGGCACTAGCAGTAACTAAACAAAGTTGGCACACATGGATATTTCCCATACATTCTTCAAACGTCCCTTCAGTTTCTGTAACCTACACACACAGATCAGGACAGAACTTCTACAAGGCACAACATTATATTCCATTTTCTTTTACAATATAGACAAACACAGTTATATAAGCTACATTAAACACAAACCTATTCTGTTTTGATTTCCCAGGCTTTAACAATTAAAGCCTGGGAATCTCCAAACTCTGAATGCGCTGTATCATTTCAATCCGGAAAATCACCGGGAAACTCAGGCCAAATTATTCACATGGATTTGGGGACGAATCACAGAACAGGGAGGAATGACGAGCACTATTGGACTATTGTAGTTTGTTCACAGATCCAGCAGATGGCAGCAGAGGCCTCATGTTTCACTGTAAACATCATAACTTAGTTTAGTTTGCAGTGTGAAGATCAGCTCAATAAACATCTGAGCACAATCAAACTTCTCCTGTGGTCCTCGGCTGCACACGGCTTACTTTGAAACACAAGAATAGTCTGGATCCAACACTTTTGAAAGAAATGGCTCATTATAAAAGAAGAACATTTGATACATTCCAACACATTGACCTTCTCTCTTTAGGTATACATATACACTTTTACAGGAAGAAGAACCTCCAAACACTACTGCAGATACAAACATGCCATTTTCCAAAGTCTTTTTTTATTGAACCTCAAAGAGTCAGTTCAAGTTGGAACAAAGTGCTTCTGTCACATTTGTTTTCATTTCTTCTTTTTGAACAAATGATACATTTAGTCTTTTCTTCATTCAAAAATAAAACTCAACTCAATGTGCAAAGAGGAACTTAGTGTTTCTGCAACTTTTAAGACCTGTATATTACTATATACTGCTGCACACTGCTGTATACTGCTGCATACTGCTGCACACTGCTGCATACTGCTGCATACTGCTGCACACTGCTGCATACTGCTGTACACTGCTGCACACTGCTGCACACTGCTGTATACTGCTGTATACTGCTGTACACTGCTGCACACTGCTGTATACTGCTGCACACTGCTGTATACTGCTGCACACTGCTGTATACTGCTGTACACTGCTGTATACTGCTGTATACTGCTGCACACTGCTGCATACTGCTGTACACTGCTGCACACTGCTGCATACTGCTGTATACTGCTGCACACTGCTGTATACTGCTGCATACTGCTGTATACTGCTGTACACTGCTGTATACTGCTGTACACTGCTGTACACTGCTGTATACTGCTGCACACTGCTGCACACTGCTGTATACTGCTGTATACTGCTGTACACTGCTGTATACTGCTGCACACTGCTGTATACTGCTGCACACTGCTGCACACTGCTGCATACTGCTGTATACTGCTGCACACTGCTGCACACTGCTGTATACTGCTGTACACTGCTGTATACTGCTGCACACTGCTGTATACTGCTGCACACTGCTGTATACTGCTGTATACTGCTGTACACTGCTGCACACTGCTGTATACTGCTGCACACTGCTGCACACTGCTGTATACTGCTGTATACTGCTGCACACTGCTGTATATTACTGTATACTGCTGCACACTGCTGTATACTGCTGTATACTGCTGTACACTGCTGCACACTGCTGTATACTGCTGCACACTGCTGCACACTGCTGTATATTACTGTATACTGCTGTATTCTTGAATCTTGCTCATGGAAATACAGCGGCCTCAGACGTCTGTGTTTCTGCTGCAGTTCTGTCTGAAACTGAACAGATTTAACACAATCAGGACCATGTGTGTTTGTTTACACAATGACCAGCACCTCCTCTTGTTCTTAAGGAGGAGGTGATCTCCTCTTTCCTATCATCCTCCTCACCTCCTCTTGTTCTTAAGGAGGAGGTGATCTCCTCTTTCCCATCATCCTCCTCACCTCCTCCTGTTCTTAAGGAGGAGGTGATCTCCTCTTTCCTATCATCCTCCTCACCTCCTCTTGTTCTTAAGGAGGAGGTGATCTCCTCTTTCCTATCATCCTCCTCACCTCCTCCTGTTCTTAAGGAGGAGGTGATCTCCTCTTTCCTATCATCCTCCTCACCTCCTCCTGTTCTTAAGGAGGAGGTGATCTCTTTCCTATCATCCTCCTCACCTCCTCCTGTTCTTAAGGAGGAGGTGATCTCCTCTTTCCTATCATCCTCCTCACCTCCTCTTGTTCTTAAGGAGGAGGTGATCTCCTCTTTCCTATCATCCTCCTCACCTCCTCTTGTTCTTAAGGAGGAGGTGATCTCCTCTTTCCCATCATCCTCCTCACCTCCTCCTGTTCTTAAGGAGGAGGTGATCTCCTCTTTCCTATCATCCTCCTCACCTCCTCCTGTTCTTAAGGAGGAGGTGATCTCTTTCCTATCATCCTCCTCACCTCCTCTTGTTCTTAAGGAGGAGGTGATCTCCTCTTTCCTATCATCCTCCTCACCTCCTCCTGTTCTTAAGGAGGAGGTGATCTCCTCTTTCCTATCATCCTCCTCACCTCCTCTTGTTCTTAAGGAGGAGGTGATCTCCTCTTTCCTATCATCCTCCTCACCTCCTCTTGTTCTTAAGGAGGAGGTGATCTCCTCTTTCCCATCATCCTCCTCACCTCCTCCTGTTCTTAAGGAGGAGGTGATCTCCTCTTTCCTATCATCCTCCTCACCTCCTCCTGTTCTTAAGGAGGAGGTGATCTCCTCTTTCCTATCATCCTCCTCGCCTCCTCCTGTTCTTAAGGAGGAGGTGATCTCCTCTTTCCTATCATCCTCCTCCTGTTCTTAAGGAGGAGGTGATCTCTCTTTCCTATCATCCTCCTCACCTCCTCCTGTTCTTAAGGAGGAGGTGATCTCCTCTTTCCTATCATCCTCCTCACCTCCTCCTGTTCTTAGGAGAGGGATCTTAAGGGAGGAGGTGATCTCCTCTTTCCCATCATCCTCCTCACCTCCTCCTGTTCTTAAGGAGGAGGTGATCTCCTCTTTCCTATCATCCTCTCCTCCCTGTTCTTAAGGAGGAGGTGATCTCCTCTTTCCTATTCCTCCTCCTGTTCTTAAGGAGGAGGTGATCTCCTCTTTCCTATCATCCTCCTCGCCTCCTCCTGTTCTTAAGGAGGAGGTGATCTCTCTTTCCTATCATCCTCCTCACCTCCTCTGTTCTTAAGGAGGAGGTGATCTCCTCTTTCCTATCACTCCTCCTCCTGTTCTTAAGGAGGAGGTGATCTCCTCTTTCCTATCATCCTCCTCCTGTTCTTAAGGAGGAGGTGATCTCCTCTTTCCTATCATCCTCCTCACCTCCTCCTGTTCTTAAGGAGGAGGTGATCTCCTCTTTCCTATCATCCTCCTCGCCTCCTCCTGTTCTTAAGGAGGAGGTGATCTCCTCTTTCCTATCATCCTCCTCCTGTTCTTAAGGAGGAGGTGATCTCTTTCCTATCATCCTCCTCACCTCCTCCTGTTCTTAAGGAGGAGGTGATCTCCTCTTTCCTATCATCCTCCTCACCTCCTCCTGTTCTTAAGGAGGAGGTGATCTCCTCTTTCCTATCATCCTCCTCCTCCTCCTGTTCTTAAGGAGGAGGTGATCTCCTCTTTCCTATCATCCTCCTCCTGTTCTTAAGGAGGAGGTGATCTCCTCTTTCCTATCATCCTCCTCCTGTTCTTAAGGAGGAGGTGATCTCTTTCCTATCATCCTCCTCACCTCCTCCTGTTCTTAAGGAGGAGGTGATCTCCTCTTTCCTATCATCCTCCTCCTGTTCTTAAGGAGGAGGTGATCTCCTCTTTCCTATCATCCTCCTCCTGTTCTTAAGGAGGAGGTGATCTCCTCTTTCCTATCATCCTCCTCCTGTTCTTAAGGAGGAGGTGATCTCCTCTTTCCTATCATCCTCCTCGCCTCCTCCTGTCTCTACTCTCACACTGATGTAGTTTGTGTTTTGAGAGAGTAAACTGTTTTCTCAGTTTGAGAGAGCGGCTCCAGTCCTGGTTTTTCCGACAGCTGTAACGTTGTAACGCTGTAACGTGTGAATGTTATGATTGTTATTTATCCCAAACGTGTTACAGCAGCCTCCAGGATCATGCTGTTATAGATGTGAGATGGTGATTAGAGCCTGAGGACAACAGAAGGGGAGTATTTTCTGCTTTATAATGAAAAAGGTTTCCATAGTAACTAGGTTTATTTATCTAAAGATGGCTCCACCCGATACACTTTCTACTATGGCTACATTTGTTACTTCTGAGAATGTCGAAACACTGTCGTTGTAGGTCAACAAAAACAATGTGTTCAAGGGAACCGGTCAGTGGGTCTGGTCCTCTGGAAACTGTTCAGACTGGTCGTGAGAACATGTGACCAGATGAGACTTTAAAACCTACTTTGATAGTACTATCTAGAATGTCTCGCTGTGATCAATGACACGGTGGTGGTGCATGTGAGCTTGTGAAACTCTTTAGTGGTAAAATAAAACATTTTAATAACATCTCTCCTTCATTTGTCCTCGTGCAGATCTTAGGATTACCAGAGTCACACATGGTTCAGTTTGCACCTTGTATTATTCACCTGGTTCTTACACCTGGTTCTTACACGGCTGCAGCTGCCCCACTTCAGAACATCTACACCCCACGGTTCAGAACTGACTACAGTCGTTTAAGATAAAGATTAAAGAGGTCCTTTATTGGTCTGACAGTGGGGAAATGTCAGTGTTGCATCACCAGTTACAGATCAGTAGGTATGATGAACACACAGCTCAAGATAAATTAATAACTTTACTAAAATAACTTTAGTAAGCTTTTATTCGTTTTTTTGTTTACTATTTTCAGTCACCTGTCCCTTTGTAAAGAGTCTTAAAGTTTCCAAAAAATGCAATATCTAAATGTATTAATAATATGAATATCATCTATTTTATTATTGTAAAACATGAAAGAAAAGATATTATTTTTACCATGCAAATAGGTCACTTACAAGCATTACCCGACTCAGGATTCTACACATAAGTCAGGTCAGTTAGCTCTATGTTGGATGTTCCACTGTTACCTACTGTTACCCACTGTTACCTACTGTTACCTACTGTTACCTACTGTTACCTACTGTTACCCACTGTTACCCACTGTTACCTACTGTTACCTACTGTTACCTACTGTTACCTACTGTTACCTACTGTTACCCACTGTTACCCACTGTTACCTACTGTTACCTACTGTTACCTACTGTTACCTAGTTACCTACTACTGTTACCTACTGTTACCTACTGTTACCTACTGTTACCTACTGTTACCTACTGTTACCTACTGTTACCTACTGTTACCTACTGTTACCTACTGTTACCTACTGTTACCTACTGTTCTACTGTTACCTACTGTTACCTACTGTTACCTACTGTTACCTACTGTTACCTACTGTTACCTACTGTTACCTACTGTTACCTACTGTTACCTACTGTTACCTACTGTTACCTACTGTTACCTACTGTTACCTACTGTTACCTACTGTTACCCACTGTTACCTACTGTTACCTACTGTTACCTACTGTTACCTACTGTTACCTACTGTTACCTACTGTTACCTACTGTTACCTACTGTTACCTACTGTTACCCACTGTTACCTACTGTTACCTACTGTTACCTACTGTTACCTACTGTTACCTACTGTAGATAAGTGTCAACATATGTATTATGGTTAATAAGATCATAAGGACCACTGTTACCTACTGTAGATAAGTATAAACATATGTATTATGGTTAATAAGGATCATAAGGACCACTGTTACCTACTGTAGATAAGTATAAACATATGTATTATGGTTAATAAGATCATAAGGACCACTGTTACCTACTGTAGATAAGTATAAACATATGTATTATGGTTAATAAGATCATAAGGACCACTGTTACCTACTGTAGATAAGTGTCAACATATGTATTATGGTTAATAAGATCATAAGGACCACTGTTACCTACTGTAGATAAGTATAAACATATGTATTATGGTTAATAAGGATCATAAGGACCACTGTTACCTACTGTAGATAAGTATAAACATATGTATTATGGTTAATAAGGATCATAAGGACCACTGTTACCTACTGTAGATAAGTATATAAACATTTTATGGTTAATAAGGATCATAAGGAGAGGGGATATCAGCTGTACACAGAGGAAAGTACTTTACACACAGCTCTGGCAACATAATGTACTGTATTTAAGGCATGGGCTTCTATGGACCGATTAAAGCATATTCTATGATAATTCAATAACAAAAGAGGCTGATACTTCTCTACCGTGATGTAATGCACAGATTCTTGTTGTTAAAATGAATGTTGCAATAACAGCACGGGTTTTAAATCTTAAATATGTCCAGAACAGTAGGGCAGGGCGTGTTTTCTGTCCGCAGTACAATATCTGAAGGAGGATTTTAGTTTTCCGCGTAAGAGTCTGATGCAGATGGCACAGGTTGCTTCCTCGGCTACGTGTCATATTCTCAGCAGCGTTAGCAACCACAGCCCAGCGTTAGCATGATGCTAATATTAACACAAAACAACTCTTAAAAACACCGTCAAATGTATATTCACATTCATTATGTGTTTGAACGTGTGGTGTTGTTAATAAAACGCGTAAACCCAGCGTATTAAACCACTAAAACGTGTGAAATGATGTGATGTTTCAGACTGTTAGCGTTAGCATTAGCCGCCGGGGTAAGATGCTAACAGATGCTAACCGATGCTAACAGATGCTAACCGATGCTAACCGATGCTAACCGATGCTAACAGATGCTAACCGATGCTAACCGATGCTAACCGATGCTAACAGATGCTAACAGATGCTAACCGATGCTAACAGATGCTAACCGATGCTAACAGATGCTAACCGATGCTAACAGATGCTAACCGATGCTAACAGATGCTAACCGATGCTAACCGAGCTGCCGAATCTGTGCCAAGCCTGTGTTTACGGGTTTATTCGGAGACTTACCCGTGTGTCAGACGTAGATCAGGGCTGTGAGAGTGATGCTGGTTCTGCTCATGTAAAGACAGCCTCCCCGTGTGGTGCCAGGTCCAGGTTCGGAGGGTTCACTCAGAGAGCCACGGTGCCGCTGTCTCACTTGACTCCACCGAGAAAAACTCCAGCCCTCCCGCTTCCTGTTTGTTCTACAGGCGCTGGTCCGACTGGGTCCGGCTGGGTCCGGCTGGGTACGGGAACTACACGTGTTGTAAATGACATTTCTTTGTAGACATGCTGTAATAATACTTTACTTTTTACACTGTTTTGTTTACACTGTTTTTGAAGAGGGAAATGTCAGTGTTGCATCACCAGTTACAGAACAGAAGGAATCAGGATTCTATACTTTTCTGCTTTATTATTAAATCTTTAGCTTAATTATAAAGCAGAAAAATATGAACATAATAAACATAGTGCAAATCAATGTATACTTGTGTCAATAAATACATCTGGATTTCTAGTTATGATTAGTGCAAGAATATTGAATTCATATTATTATATTAAAAGTCAATATCTCTGTACGTTTAAATATTCACAATGATGACAGAGACAAAGCAGTAACTCATGAGGTCCACACACTCATCCTCTCATTTCTAAAGCTTTATTATGATTTTATATTAAGTTCCCATTAGTTTCTGTTAGATTTTCCTTGAACTTGTCGATATTACTTGATGGATAAATAAATAAATGTGGATAAATGATCAGAGTCAGAGAGTGTCTGGTCCTTTTCTTCAGGAGAGCTTCTTTGTCAAGACAAAAGTGACATTTTCTTGGAACGACCAACTTTAATCTTTTTTAAGCCACTTTTAAATATCTTTTCTCCAGTTTTCTACCCATAGAAAACATCCATTATAATTCATTAGTGCTAAAGCTAAAGTACAAATAAGCATCTGACTCGTAAAACGTTTAAAAGAAATACATTGAGTTTTGGCAAATTTAAATGTATGAATTTAATACTTTGCAATAAATTAATTAACGTGGATATTGTTTGGAGTAAACGTAACTCTCAAACAACCAGCGGGGTTCAGGGAGGGCCTGAAAGCCTACTCAGTCCTGGTCTACAGCCTCAGACCTGGGTCTACAGTCTCAGTCCTGGGTCTACAGCCTCAGTCCTGGGTCTACAGCCTCAGTCCTGGGTCTACAGCCTCAGTCCTGGGTCTACACCCAGTCCTGGCAGCCTCAGTCCTGGGTCTACAACCTCAGTCCTGGGTCTACAGCCTCAGTCCTGGGTCTACAGCCTCAGTCCTGGGTCTACAGCCTCAGTCCTGGGTCTACAGCCTCAGTCCTGGGTCTACAGCCTCAGACCTGGGTCTACAGTCTCAGTCCTGGGTCTACAGCCTCAGTCCTGGGTCTACAGCCTCAGTCCTGGGTCTACAGCCTCAGTCCTGGGTCTACAGCCTCAGTCCTGGGTCTACAGCCTCAGTCCTGGGTCTACAGCCTCAGTCCTGGTCTACAGCCTCAGTCCTGGGTCTACAGTCTCAGTCCTGGGTCTACAGCCTCAGTCCTGGGTCTACAGTCTCAGTCCTGGGTCTACAGCCTCAGTCCTGGGTCTACAGCCTCAGTCCTGGGTCTACAGCCTCAGTCCTGGGTCTACAGTCTCAGTCCTGGGTCTACAGCCTCAGTCCTGGGTCTACAGCCTCAGTCCTGGGTCTACAGCCTCAGTCCTGGGTCTACAGCCTCAGTCCTGGGTCTCTCTATGGACCAATGGCATCTATTTATTATTCAATGTGTTTGAACAGTTTGATTCTCTGATCTGCTGTTGGCAAAATGACAACTTTGCGAAGTCCTCAGGGACGACAGCTGCTGTGGTTTAGAGCTATACACAAATACATAGAACTGAATAAAGTTTTTTCCATATTAATGGTGCATTGGTGTGAAATAAAAACGTTTAGATCTTTCCAGAATGGTTGAGGAGGCTATGATAATGTCCTCTCTCTCTACACCTACAGACATATAAACAGTAGAGTCACGTGGATATACGTTGTGCAGAATGTTATGGTGTCAGATGTGGAGCACTGAAGGAAATGCCACGTGTACACACTGCGCATGCGCGGCAGCTGGTTCTGGGTGATCCCGACTTCCGCCGCTAGTTCCGCTGAAAGAGCCGAATCTTTCTCCGACCCACACAACCAGGCCCGTTATCCCCCCCTCCCGATACGGCTACACGGGCTCCACGGCCTCTCGGGGAGCGGCCATGGCCCAGTAACCCACCGATATACACCACTTATACACCGCGAATCACCCGTTAACCCGAGAGCACACACAGCCGCAGCTCTGACGTAGCGGCGGAAGTGTTAGCATTTGGGTGTTAGCATTGGGAAGCTAGCTGCCCCCAAGACGCGGCTAGCATCACCTCCACCACAACTGCTTTGGCTTTGGCAGCTTCAAGATGTCAACAGCTGGATGTAACTCTCAGAACGGGACTGGGGCAGGGCAGCCGTACACAAATGGTGAGTTAAAACACGTGTGCTGGTAAACACATGTAGTTAGTAGAAGCTGGGGCTAACTTAGCACTAGCAGGGACACTTCTTGGATGCTAATCGGGAGCTAACTGGCTTCCTCACTAATGCTGCAGTGAAAGGCAGCTGTCATCTGTGAGAGAGTTAAGGACTTTGTTAGATAATCTTTAGGGTGTAGTTATGGACTTAGGTTGTCAGGACCAGTTAAAGGGGAACAATGAGAGTCCAACAGGTTGAGCCCCCCCCTGGACCACCAACAGGTTGAGCCCCCCCCTGGACCACCAACAGGTTGAGCCCCCCCCTGGACCACCAACAGGTTGAGCCCCCCCCTGGACCACACGGATCAACACTTTCTGCAGATTAACTTGGGACAGGGCTGTTTTTAAAGGGCTGTTAGTGCAGTAATAACCAGTTATATATCATTTAAAAAAAGCTCGACCAGAGAGAGACCAGAGAGAGACCAGAGAGAGAACCAGAGAGAGACCAGAGAGAGAGAGAGAGACCAGAGAGAGAGACCAGAGAGAGACCAGAGAGACCAGAGAGAGACCAGAGAGAGAGACCAGAGAGAGAGACCAGAGAGAGAGACCAGAGAGAGAGACCAGAGAGAGACCAGAGAGAGAGACCAGAGAGAGAGACCAGAGAGAGACCAGAGAGAGACCAGAGAGAGACCAGAGAGAGACCAGAGAGAGACCAGAGAGAGACCAGAGAGAGACCAGAGAGAGAGACCAGAGAGAGACCAGAGAGAGACCAGAGAGAGACCAGAGAGAGACCAGAGAGAGAGACCAGAGAGAGAGACCAGAGAGAGAGACCAGAGAGAGAGACCAGAGAGAGAGACCAGAGAGAGAGACCAGAGAGAGAGAGAGACCAGAGAGAGAGACCAGAGAGAGAGACCAGAGAGAGACCAGAGAGAGAACAGAGAGAGAGACCAGAGAGAGACCAGAGAGAGACCAGAGAGAGACCAGAGAGAGACCAGAGAGAGACCAGAGAGAGAGACCAGAGAGAGAGACCAGAGAGAGAGACCAGAGAGAGAGACCAGAGAGAGAGAGACCAGAGAGAGAGACCAGAGAGAGACCAGAGAGAGAGACCAGAGAGACCAGAGAGACCAGAGAGAGACCAGAGAGAGACCAGAGAGAGACCAGAGAGAGAGACCAGAGAGAGACCAGAGAGAGAGACCAGAGAGAGAGAGAGAGAGAGAGAGACCAGAGAGAGAGACCAGAGAGAGAGAGAACCAGAGAGAGAGACCAGAGAGAGAGACCAGAGAGAGAGACCAGAGAGAGACCAGAGAGAGAGACCAGAGAGAGAGACCAGAGAGAGACCAGAGAGAGACCAGAGAGAGACCAGAGAGAGACCAGAGAGAGACCAGAGAGAGACCAGAGAGAGACCAGAGAGAGACCAGAGAGAGACCAGAGAGAGACCAGAGAGAGACCAGAGAGAGACCAGAGAGAGACCAGAGAGAGAGAGACCAGAGAGAGAGACCAGAGAGAGACCAGAGAGAGACCAGAGAGAGACCAGAGAGAGACCAGAGAGAGACCAGAGAGAGACCAGAGAGAGACCAGAGAGAGAGACCAGAGAGAGACCAGAGAGACCAGAGAGAGAGACCAGAGAGAGAGACCAGAGAGACCAGAGAGAGAGACCAGAGAGAGACCAGAGAGAGACCAGAGAGAGACCAGAGAGAGAGACCAGAGAGAGACCAGAGAGAGAGACCAGAGAGAGAGACCAGAGAGAGAGACCAGAGAGAGAACCAGAGAGAGACCAGAGAGAGACCAGAGAGAGACCAGAGAGAGACCAGAGAGAGACCAGAGAGAGACCAGAGAGAGACCAGAGAGAGAGAGACCAGAGAGAGAGAGACCAGAGAGAGAGAGACCAGAGAGAGAGAGACCAGAGAGAGACCAGAGAGAGACCAGAGAGAGACCAGAGAGAGGCCAGAGAGAGACCACTCTCTGGCCTCTCTCTGGTCTCTCTCTGGCCTCTCTCTGGTCTCTCTCTGGCCTCTCTCTGGTCTCTCTCTGGTCTCTCTCTGGCCTCTCTCTGGTCCCTCTGGCCTCTCTCTGGTCCCTCTGGCCTCTCTCTGGTCCCTCTGGTCCCTCTGGCCTCTCTCTGGTCCCTCTGGCCTCTCTCTGGTCCCTCTGGCCTCTCTCTGGCCTTTGAGGTCTTTGAGGCCATTACCTGTGTAGTCAGAGGGTTCTAAACGGTTGTAGATGATGCCTTTTCCATAGCTACAGTATGGACTATTTAAAAGTGTAGAGCAGAGTCTGACACTTCAACTAGGTCCCAATATTACAGTTTCCTTTATTGCCTGTCATAACAATTACGTATGACCTCTTCATGGTTGGTTCATGGTCTACTGTTATGGTATTTGCCTCTGGGCCTTGCTGCTTCACACTGGTCATTGTTGTAGTCTTAACTTAAGCCCCGTTTCCACCAGCCCTAATTGGCCCCACTTGGCCCTACTCTATCCCTTTTATTGGGAGTGTTTTCACTGGCCCTGTTCAACCATCCCTTTACTCCCTCTTGGTCCTGGTTGAGGCTGAGCTGGTACTAAAGTTGTCTAACGGACAGGGACTGGCTCGAGTGCTGCTGGAAGCCATGGTAACCAAGGAAGGTCAATGAAACTGGGTTGTTGTGGGGAGGTTGCTAGGATACGGTACCAGATACTGATGCGTAATGGAGACGTTATCAAGTAGAGTAGAGCTGAGTAGAGTTAGGCCAAGTAGGGCTAAAGACTGCAACATTATCAGTGTGGAACTAAAACTATCATTATCCTTCAATGTTAAATAACTTAACTATTTAAGTAAACATGGTGAATGCTGTTTAATATTGCATACATGTACAGGTATATGTATCTATGACGACAGATGTGAAGATTATGAGATGTTTTTGATTAACCAAAGTCATTCAGGTTACATTGTAAGAACTAATACATATTCATTATATTCACATTTGCTCTTGGAACCAGTTTTCTTACTTTAGTGCCCTGAAGACAATTAGCTGCTACTTTTTCTTTAAGCCACTGTATTTGTTTAAATGTGGCGGAGAATCTTATGTGGGAAAGAATTTAGAAACCGCTCCATCAGTGGTGGTTTATGTGAACAGCAGAGTGAGCCTAGAGGAGGAGATGCACAAAAACACACCGGACCAGGGTTTATGTGACTAGCTACAGGACGCACATAGGATCCAGTCAGTCCAGGTTCTCGGCCCCTGGTTGTTTTGGTGAACTAAAGTGGCCCTCCTATTAAAGGCCCCCCTGAGTTAAGGTAATTGAATCTTTTGTGACCAGTTAAATCTATCGGCTTGTTCTCCATCAGCTGTGTTTGAGTGTTACAATAAAACATGAAAACATGCTTTTAAACTTTAGTACATTAATGAAACAATATCGCTCACACCTTTTCTTATTGTATTAATCAACAAACTTGGTTCATTCAGTGTTTTCAAACCTATTCATGATGTTGTTGAGACTGTACTTTTCTATTTGACAGTGTTGTCCTCATGAACGTGGCTCAGGTCTTTCAGCTTCTATAGCGTTCCCATGACACGGTTTATTATTAGAAGAGCGCCCAATCCCAGCGTGTAAATGCTCCGTCACTGGTTTCAATACCTCTGAGTAATCACTGGCCTTGTGCAATAGTGACAAACTATGCAGCGCTTGTGTTCGCTCCTCCTTCGCTCTGAGCATGTGGCATTTTGGGTCAGATCGCAGCTGAAGAAGCAGAGGATCCAGTGCCTCAGAGATGACCCAGAAACTCTGATCTTTGCAACGAAAGTCACGTCTGAGGACACACCCACCAGGACTGCCAGGGTCACCGCAGGGGTTTCCACAACAGCCACCAAACTGAACACCCACCAGGACTGAACACCCACCAAACTGAACACCCACCAGGACTGAACACCCACCAAACTGAACACCCACCAGGACTGAACACCCACCAGGACTGAACACCCACCAGGACTGAACACCCACCAAACTGAACACCCACCAAACTGAACACCCACCAGGACTGAACACCCACCAAACTGAACACCCACCAAACTGAACACCCACCAGGACTGAACACCCACCAGGACTGAACACCCACCAGGACTGAACACCCACCAAACTGAACACCCACCAAACTGAACACCCACCAGGACTGAACACCCACCAAACTGAACACCCACCAAACTGAACACCCACCAAACTGAACACCCACCAAACTGAACACCCACCAGGACTGAACACCCACCAAACTGAACACCCACCAAACTGAACACCCACCAGGACTGCCAGAGTCATTCCACAACAGCCACCAAACTGAAAAGTCATGTCATTCATACAGAGCACAGTTAAAAGTTCACACACTGGGCTTTTGTTTCAGCTTCTGTGGAGCAACAGAAACAGTCAGGGGCATTAGAATGTTTACTTGAATAGTGTAAGTGTAGTCTCCAACCTGTTTCAATCAGAGAGCTACTGTTAAGCAACAAAAGAGGCAGAGAGCTACTCCTTTTGCAGTTAATGTAACGACAAAACATAGAACACATAAATATGTAACATAATACAGTAAAACCCTATTTATACTTAAAATAGACTCAATGTATTCATTCAAGATCATTTGTTAAATTCTAAATCCTTTGGGGAGCTACCTGAAAGGGGCTGGCGAGCTACTGGTAGCTCCCAAGCCACAGGTTGGAGACCCCTGGTGTGAGGCATTCATAAAAATACTGTCATTTCAAAAGTACGACTGCAGCCGATCAAAGTGACAAGAGTTAGTTTGAGTCCTGTATCTGTCGGATGTGGTAGGCTCGAAGAACAGAGACAGACCTCTGAAGCTGAGCAGTGCAGAGCCTGGTTAGTGCTGTGATGGGAGACCTCTGGGAACAGCAGGTTGTCAAGTGCCAAACTGTGGTTGTGTCCTTAGGCAAGACACTTCCCCCACATAAGAATGAGTGGTGGTTGTTGGTGGGAGGGGTCTGTCAGTGTGCCCCAGGGCAGCTGTGGCTACAGTAGTTAATCACCACTGTGTTGGAAGTGCTGAATCAAACTGATGCATTATCATTAGTGCTCATTCTAATGTGTTCATCTCACACACACACACACACACACACCAGACTAATGTGTTCATCACACACACCAGACTAATGTGTTCATCACACACACCAGACTAATGTGTTCATCACACACACCAGACTAATGTGTTCATCACACACACCAGACTAATGTGTTCATCACACACACCAGACTAATGTGTTCATCACACACACCAGACTAATGTGTTCATCACACACACACACACCAGACTAATGTGTTCATCACACACACACACACACACACCAGACTAATGTGTTCATCACACACACCAGACTAATGTGTTCATCACTCACACACACACACACACACACACACCAGACTAATGTGTTCATCACACACACCAGACTAATGTGTTCATCACACACACCAGACTAATGTGTTCATCACACACACCAGACTAATGTGTTCATCACACACACCAGACTAATGTGTTCATCACACACACCAGACTAATGTGTTCATCACACACACACACACCAGACTAATGTGTTCATCACACACACACACACACCAGACTAATGTGTTCATCACACACACCAGACTAATGTGTTCATCACTCACACACACACACACACACACACACACACACCAGACTAATGTGTTCATCACACACACCAGACTAATGTGTTCATCACACACACAAGACTAATGTGTTCATCACACACACCAGACTAATGTGTTCATCACACACACCAGACTAATGTGTTCATCACACACACCAGACTAATGTGTTCATCACACACACCAGACTAATGTGTTCATCACACACACCAGACTAATGTGTTCATCACACACACCAGACTAATGTGTTCATCACACACACCAGACTAATGTGTTCATCACACACACCAGACTAATGTGTTCATCACACACACCAGACTAATGTGTTCATCACACACACCAGACTAATGTGTTCATCACACACACCAGACTAATGTGTTCATCACACACACCAGACTAATGTGTTCATCACACACACACACACACACACCAGACTAATGTGTTCATCACACACACACACACACACACCAGACTAATGTGTTCATCACACACACACACACACACACCAGACTAATGTGTTCATCACACACACACACACACACACCAGACTAATGTGTTCATCACACACACACACACACACACCAGACTAATGTGTTCATCACACACACACACACACCAGACTAATGTGTTCATCACACACACACACACCAGACTAATGTGTTCATCACACACACACACACACCAGACTAATGTGTTCATCACACACACACACACACCAGACTAATGTGTTCATCACACAGTTTGACTTGGACAGAAACACATGTTTCTTTACACTGTGTATTATTGGGGAATATGAAATGTAAAATGTCGATTGGCCAGAAGATTAGAAAATAACACTTATCTGTGCAGCATTTTGGAAACGTGTTTTATTAAATGTGCTATATAAATAAAGTGGATTGGAGAGTTTTACTGGGCCAAAAATGCAAAATATAACAGGACAAAAAATAATCATGAAAGAATCTGTCGAGTCAGGGATCAAAGTGTGAAAGCTCTGGGTCCATGACACGCCTGAAGTGGCCTGGTGCCACAATCTGTTATCAATAAGTTTATCCACATAAACTATTACCAACGTATTTACACACATCCAAAAGATTCAATAACACAAAACAAGATGGAACTATTCTAAAAACATAAACTACACTAATGTTGTGAAAAACCCATAATCGTGTGCATTGTTGAGCTTATTCCTGAGTTTTTACGTGATAGATCTGACACTGGCCTTTTTAACAGTGTAAGGCCGTTTCTGCGTCTCCAGTTTGAGTTGTTTTAATCCTTCTTACTCCAGACTTATCTCTGAACGTGTGTAAGTGGATTGTGTTGTTACGTAACTCTCCGTGTGACAGAGACGTCCACTGACCCTGGTCCAGTCAGAGGCACTTATGCTGATTGTATTTCACATTTTTATCTTTTTAAATCTGTTTATTGGGAATGTTCAGAACTATTCAAAAACTAAGGAACTGAGGGCATCAAGAGTATATATTTGCATTGACATGAAAATAGAATAAAATGAATACAACTCAAACATATACAGAAAAATAACAAGTATAAGGCCCTTTCTGGAGCCGGTTTGAGACCCCTGGTTCAGTGTGTAGTGAATCTCTAGGATCCAACTGTTGCTTTGTCTTCATCTCCTCCATGTTTCCTCAGGTCCGTCTCAGAACCTGCAGCAGCTCCCAGCTCTGAGCTACGGCATGGCCCCCCACCAGAACTACAGCCCCCTCCAGGCCAAAGCTCCTCTGGGCCCCGGACTGTACCCACAGAACAGCCCCTACCACCCGCCCTCCTCTCTCCCGCACACCCCCCCTCTGTCGGCCAGCCCAGTGCCTCAGATGCCCTCGGCTCAGAGCACACCGCCCCCTGTGGCCGGAGGCGGCTACTACAACAGCCCGCTCCAGACTCCGGCGATGGGACCGGCCTGGCACTACAACACGTCTGCACCTGTGACCCCGCCCCACGCACACGCAGCGACCAATCACATGGCTCCGCCTCGCTCTATGGCCCCATCCACCTCCAGCCCGGCGCCGGGACCAGGACTGCCCCCCAGCTCTGCGCACGGATACAGTCAGACAGGTACAGACGCTCCCACTCGTCCGTTTCTAGATTCTTGAAGGCCTTCATAAAGCTGCCGATTCTCCAACACAGATCAGAGAATCAAACTAGAGCCATGGGTCCATAAGAGACAGAGATGTCCATACATTTACTTTTATTTACACACAAACAAACATTAACCTATGTCTGTCTGGCACAAAATACACCAATCTAGGTCTGGGGCTGGGGTGTCCAAACTAGGGCCTGCGGGCCAAATGCGGCTCGCTGGGTTATGATATGTGGACCTCTTTCTTGCCAACACAAATTAGCCATTGAAGCACTTTTTATCATCCAGCCAACTTCAGCCCCACCAATATATTTACACCATACCTTGTATAAAATCTATCTGAAGCCTAAGAGCGAACCTTTTAATAAGAGTTTTAATAAGACTTTAGTTCACCAGACTTACAAATATGTTTAATTATATAGTGTTTGATTATAGCGTGTAACTTGTAAAGTGTCTGAGTGTCCAAAAAGCGCTATATAAGTTGGAATTATTATTATTTTGATGACATATTTATGATAAATTTGAGAATGATTCATGTTTAAATCTAGATAAACATATATTGTTATTTATCAATTATACAAGAGCTTATATAATATTATTTTTTACACTTGTGAAATTTACTGAGATTCAAATGTGTCCAAGTTGTTTTTGTCTCTAGATATTATTCCGCTGTAGATTTATTTTGTGTGGATATTTCTGAGGTGTTGACCTTTGACCTGAGATGGGTAGTGCCCCAAGTGTCTTTGACAAACACTGAAGAACAGGAAACGTGTGATTATTCTCTGCTTCAACAGCACTTTGTTGTCGCTCATAACGACACACAAATAAAACACACAAACCAGGACAAAGAGGAGATGATTTGGTGCTAATGTTGTACAGAGATGTGTGTGTCATGGACTAATGAATGACCCACTGACGGTGAGGCTAGTTTATCTGTATAGCACAGTTTAGGATCATTAATAACCTCAGAACATTAGAAAGAGTGAAGACAGAATCCTTCAGATGTAGCTGCACAATACAACTGTGGTGGAAGTGTGTGTCTGTGGTGGAAGTGTGCGTCTGTGGTGGAAGTGTGCGTCTGTGGTGGAAGTGTGTGTCTGTGGTGGAAGTGTGCGTCTGTGGTGGAAGTGTGTGTCTGTGGTGGAAGTGTGTGTCTGTGGTGGAAGTGTGTGTCTGTGGTGGAAGTGTGTGTCTGTGGTGGAAGTGTGTGTCTGTGGTGGAAGTGTGTGTCTGTGGTGGAAGTGTGTGTCTGTGGTGGAAGTGTGTGTCTGTGGTGGAAGTGTGTGTCTGTGGTGGAAGTGTGTGTCTGTGGTGGAAGTGTGTGTCTGTGGTGGAAGTGTGTGTCTGTGGTGGAAGTGTGTGTCTGTGGTGGAAGTGTGTGTCTGTGGTGGAAGTGTGTGTCTGTGGTGGAAGTGTGTGTCTGTGGTGGAAGTGTGTGTCTGTGGTGGAAGTGTGTGTCTGTGGTGGAAGTGTGTGTCTGTGGTGGAAGTGTGTGTCTGTGGTGGAAGTGTGTGTCTGTGGTGGAAGTGTGTGTCTGTGGTGGAAGTGTGTGTCTGTGGTGGAAGTGTGTGTCTGTGGTGGAAGTGTGTGTCTGTGGTGGAAGTGTGTGTCTGTGGTCGAAGTGTGTGTCTGTGGTCGAAGTGTGTGTCTGTGGTCGAAGTGTGTGTCTGTGGTGGAAGTGAGTGTCTGTGGTGGAAGTGTGTGTCTGTGGTGGAAGTGTGTGTCTGTGGTGGAAGTGTGTGGATGTGTGTCTGTAGCAGAAGTGTGTGTCTGGTGGAAGTGTTTATGTTGTGTGTCTGTAGTGGAAGTGTGTGTCTGTGGTGGAAGTGTGTGGATGTTGTGTGTCTGTAGTGGAAGTGTGTGTCTGTGGTGGAAGTGTGTGGATGTGTGTATGTTGTGTGTCTGTAGCAGAAGTGTGTGTCTGGTGGAAGTGTTTATGTTGTGTGTCTGTAGTGGAAGTGTGTGTGTGTGTGTCTGTGGTGGAAGTGTGTGTCTGGTGGAAGTGTTTATGTTGTGTGTCTGTAGTAGAAGTGTGTGTCTGTGGTGGAAGTGTGTGTATGTTGTGTGTCTGTAGCAGAAGTGTGTGTCTGGTGGAAGTGTTTATGTTGTGTGTCTGTAGTGGAAGTGTGTGTGTGTGTGTCTGTGGTGGAAGTGTGTGTCTGGTGGAAGTGTTTATGTTGTGTGTCTGTAGTAGAAGTGTGTGTCTGTGGTGGAAGTGTGTGTAGTGTGTCTGTAGCAGAAGTGTGTGTCTGGTGGAAGTGTTTATGTTGTGTGTCTGTAGTGGAAGTGTGTGTGTGTGTGTCTGTGGTGGAAGTGTGTGTCTGGTGGAAGTGTTTATGTTGTGTGTCTGTAGTAGAAGTGTGTGTCTGTGGTGGAAGTGTGTGTATGTTGTGTGTCTGTAGCAGAAGTGTGTGTCTGGTGGAAGTGTTTATGTTGTGTGTCTGTAGTGGAAGTGTGTGTCTGTAGTGGAAGTGTGTGTCTGTGGTGGAAGTGTGTGTCTGTGGTGGAAGTGTGTGTCTGTGGTGGAAGTGTGTGTCTGTGGTGGAAGTGTGTGTCTGTGGTGGAAGTGTGTGTCTGTGGTGGAAGTGTGTGTCTGTGGTGGAAGTGTGTGTCTGTGGTGGAAGTGTGTGTCTGGTGGAAGTGTGTGTCTGTGGTGGAAGTGTGTGTCTGTGTGTATGTTGTGTGTCTGTAGCAGAAGTGTGTGTCTGGTGGAAGTGTTTATGTTGTGTGTCTGTAGTGGAAGTGTGTGTCTGTAGTGGAAGTGTGTGTCTGTGGTGGAAGTGTTTATGTTGTGTGTCTGTGGTGGAAGTGTGTCGATGTGTGTATGTTGTGTGTCTGTAGCAGAAGTGTGTGTCTGGTGGAAGTGTTTATGTTGTGTGTCTGTAGTGGAAGTGTGTGTCTGTGGTGGAAGTGTGTGTCTGTGGTGGAAGTGTGTGGATGTGTGTATGTTGTGTGTCTGTAGCAGAAGTGTCTGTAGTGGAAGTGTGTATGTTGTGTGTGTGTTGTGTTGTCGCTGTACTTCGCCCTTTGCTCGCTCACACCACTCTACATTTGGACAAAGTTCATCTTCTCTCACAAACTGTGTACACACAACTCACTCACACATTCACAAACTGTGTACACACAACTCACTCACACATTCACAAACTGTGCACACACAACTCACTCACACATTCACAAACTGTGTACACACAACTCACTCACACATTCACAAACTGTGTACACACAACTCACTCACACATTCACAAACTGTATACACACAACTCACTCACACATTCACAAACTGTATACACACATCTCACTCACACATTCACAAACTGTATACACACAACTCACTCACACATTCACAAACTGTGTACACACAACTCACTCACACATTCACAAACTGTGTACACACAACTCACTCACACATTCACAAACTGTGTACACACAACTCACTCACACATTCACAAACTGTATACACACAACTCACTCACACATTCACAAACTGTATACACACAACTCACTCACACATTCACAAACTGTATACACACAACTCACTCACACATTCACAAACTGTATACACACAACTCACTCACACATTCACAAACTGTATACACACAACTCACTCACACATTCACAAACTGTGTACACACAACTCACTCACACATTCACAAACTGTATACACACATCTCACTCACACATTCACAAACTGTGTACACACAACTCACTCACACATTCACAAACTGTGTACACACAACTCACTCACACATTCACAAACTGTGTACACACAACTCACTCACACATTCACAAACTGTATACACACAACTCACTCACACATTCACAAACTGTGTACACACAACTCACTCACACATTCACAAACTGTGTACACACAACTCACTCACACATTCACAAACTGTGTACACACAACTCACTCACACATTCACAAACTGTATACACACAACTCACTCACACATTCACAAACTGTGTACACACAACTCACTCACACATTCACAAACTGTGTACACACAACTCACTCACACATTCACAAACTGTGTACACACAACTCACTCACACATTCACAAACTGTGTACACACAACTCACTCACACATTCACAAACTGTGTACACACAACTCACTCACACATTCACAAACTGTGTACACACAACTCACTCACACATTCACAAACTGTGTACACACAACTCACTCACACATTCACAAACTGTATACACACAACTCACTCACACATTCACAAACTGTGTACACACAACTCACTCACACATTCACAAACTGTGTACACACAACTCACTCACACATTCACAAACTGTATACACACAACTCACTCACACATTCACAAACTGTGTACACACAACTCACTCACACATTCACAAACTGTGTACACACAAGTGAACCTAAGGCACCAGTGAAGAGCAGAACCAGAACCAGTGAAAGAAAACTGCTGTCTCCGGGTTTAAAGATTCATGAATGTCCTCTGATCTGATTCACTAAACCTTTTTAAAATTGTATTTAATTTTCTGTGACAAATGACAATTTTGTGTAGGCGTAGGAAGGACTAAACCAGGACTATACCAGGACTATACCAGGACTAAACCAGGACAAAACCAGTAACAAGGACCAACAGACTAAACCAGGACTAAACCAGGACTAAACCAGGACTAAACCAGGACTATACCAGGACTATACCAGGACAAAACCAGGACAAAACCAGGACAAAACCAGGACTAAACCAGGACTAAACCAGGACTAAACCAGGACTAAACCAGGACTAAACCAGGACTAAACCAGGACTAAACCAGGACTAAACCAGATCTGACAATGGGGGACACAGTGCTTGTGAACATATGCGTTCTCATGCTCCAGTGACTGTAAACTAATGCAGCTAGCGTGTTGTTAATGCAGAAGTACTGTTTAATAATAGAATAAACGTATGGCGCACCTCCATGAACACATGCTGCTGTTATATAAAGTCACCTCCGTGAACACATACTGCTGTTATATAAAGTCACCTCCGTGAACACATGCTACTGTTATATAAAGTCACCTCCGTGAACACATGCTGCTGTTATATAAAGTCACCTCCGTGAACACATGCTGCTGTTATATAAAGTCACCTCCGTGAACACATACTGCTGTTATATAAAGTCACCTCCGTGAACACATGCTGCTGTTATATAAAGTCACCTCCGTGAACACATACTACTGTTATATAAAGTCACCGTGAACACATGCTGCTGTTATATAAAGTCACCTCCGTGAACACATGCTACTGTTATATAAAGTCACCTCCGTGAACACATACTGCTGTTATATAAAGTCACCTCCGTGAACACATACTGCTGTTATATAAAGTCACCTCCGTGAACACATACTGCTGTTATATAAAGTCACCTCCGTGAACACATACTGCTGTTATATAAAGTCACCTCCGTGAACACATGCTGCTGTTATATAAAGTCACCTCCGTGAACACATGCTACTGTTATATAAAGTCACCTCCGTGAACACATGCTACTGTTATATAAAGTCACCTCCGTGAACACATACTGCTGTTATATATAGTCACCTCCGTGAACACATACTGCTGTTATATAAAGTCACCTCCGTGAACACATGCTACTGTTATATAAAGTCACCTCCGTGAACACATGCTACTGTTATATAAAGTCACCTCCGTGAACACATACTGCTGTTAAAGTCACCTCCGTGAACACATACTGCTGTTATATAAAGTCACCTCCGTGAACACATACTACTGTTATATAAAGTCACCGTGAACACATACTACTGTTATATAAAGTCACCTCCATGAACACATACTGCTGTTATATAAAGTCACCTCCGTGAACACATACTGCTGTTATATAAAGTCACCTCCGTGAACACATACTGCTGTTATATAAAGTCACCTCCGTGAACACATACTGCTGTTATATAAAGTCACCTCCGTGAACACATACTGCTGTTATATAAAGTCACCTCCGTGAACACATACTGCTGTTATATAAAGTCACCGTGAACACATACTACTGTTATATAAAGTCACCTCCGTGAACACATACTGCTGTTATATAAAGTCACCGTGAACACATACTGCTGTTATATAAAGTCACCGTGAACACATACTACTGTTATATAAAGTCACCTCCGTGAACACATACTGCTGTTATATAAAGTCACCTCCGTGAACACATACTGCTGTTATATAAAGTCACCTCCGTGAACACATACTGCTGTTATATAAAGTCACCTCCGTGAACACATACTGCTGTTATATAAAGTCACCTCCGTGAACACATACTGCTGTTATATAAAGTCACCGTGAACACATACTGCTGTTATATAAAGTCACCGTGAACACATACTACTGTTATATAAAGTCACCTCCGTGAACACATACTGCTGTTATATAAAGTCACCTCCGTGAACACATACTGCTGTTATATAAAGTCACCTCCGTGAACACATACTGCTGTTATATAAAGTCACCTCCGTGAACACATACTGCTGTTATATAAAGTCACCGTGAACACATACTGCTGTTATATAAAGTCACCGTGAACACATACTGCTGTTATATAAAGTCACCTCTGTGAACACATACTGCTGTTATATAAAGTCACCTCTGTGAACACATACTGCTGTTATATAAAGTCACCTCCGTGAACACATACTGCTGTTATATAAAGTCTGTGAAGGTCTCAGACACAGATGCAGCTACATTCACAGAGAAGAACTTTACATAAAAGCCGCTAGCTTAACTCCGTTAGCATCAAAGCACTTCCGGCGGGCGCCACTGCAGCAGGACTTCTGGTCTCAACACCCGAGCGTCTGAAATTCAGAATGCGCCCCCAGCGCGCGGAAACGGCGTTTCAGCGTTGGTGGTTTAGCCTCTGTTAGCCTCTGTTTGCCCCCTGTTAGCCCCTGTTAGCCCCTGTTAGCCACTGTTAGCCTACTCTTTCCACAGTCTGGTAGGAATCTTCAACATAAGAACTGGTCCTGGCTGTTACTCATGACTGCATTTCTGTTTCCAGGTGTGGCTCCTCACACATACCACCAGCCCGTCAGACCTCCATACGGGGCCCCTCCCTCTGCTGCTGCTGCCTCGGGACCCAGACCTGCCATGGGACCACCTCCACCCATAGGCCAACCTCCACCCATGGGTCAACCCCCACCCATGGGTCAACCTCCACCCATGGGCCAACCCCCACCCATGGGCCAACCCCCACCCATGGGCCAACCCCCACCCATGGGCCAACCCCCACCCATGGGCCAACCCCCACCCATGGGCCAACCCCCACCCATGGGCCAACCTCCACCCATGGGCCAACCCCCACCCATGCGTCACCCACCACCTATGGTACACCCCCCACCCACGGGACACTCTCCTTCAGGAGCTCCACCTCCAATGAGACCCACCCCTCCACCTTCTGGACCCCCCATGGGCAATGCCACCCCTCCCACTCCCAAAGCTGATGGTAAGAGGTCTGAAGAAGCTTTAAAGGGGACATAACCTGATTCTGTTCTGTACTATATGATAATCTTATTAAATGTTTGGCTGACTGGAGGCTGAAAAAGGTAGATTTGTAGAAAGATATAATACAGAAAAACCGTGGGTTTATACTTTGGTGTTCCTGAGGCAGGTAGACACTAACCAGGTCTGTTTTATACTTTAGTGTTCCTGAGGCAGGTAGACACTAACCAGGTCTGGTTTTATACTTTGGTGTTCCTGAGGCAGGTAGATACTAACCAGGTCTGTTTTATACTTTAGTGTTCCTGAGGCAGGTAGATACTAACCAGGTCTGTTTTATACTTTGGTGTTCCTGAGGCAGGTAGACACTAACCAGGTCTGTTTTATACTTTAGTGTTCCTGAGGCAGGTAGACACTAACCAGGTCTGTTTTATACTTTGGTGTTCCTGAGGCAGGTAGACACTAACCAGGTCTGTTTTATACTTTAGTGTTCCTGAGGCAGGTAGATACTAACCAGGTCTGTTTTATACTTTGGTGTTCCTGAGGCAGGTAGACACTAACCAGGTCTGTTTTTATACTTTAGTGTTCCTGAGGCAGGTAGACACTAACCAGGTCTGGTTTATACTTTGGTGTTCCTGAGGCAGGTAGACACTAACCAGGTCTGTTTTTATACTTTGGTGTTCCTGAGGCAGGTAGACACTAACCAGGTCTGGTTTATACTTTGGTGTTCCTGAGGCAGGTAGACACTAACCAGGTCTGGTTTATACTTTGGTGTTCCTGAGGCAGGTAGACACTAACCAGGTCTGGTTTTATACTTTGGTGTTCCTGAGGCAGGTAGATACTAACCAGGTCTGTTTTATACTTTAGTGTTCCTGAGGCAGGTAGATACTAACCAGGTCTGTTTTATACTTTAGTGTTCCTGAGGCAGGTAGATACTAACCAGGTCTGTTTTATACTTTAGTGTTCCTGAGGCAGGTAGATACTAACCAGGTCTGTTTTATACTTTAGTGTTCCTGAGGCAGGTAGATACTAACCAGGTCTGTTTTATACTTTGGTGTTCCTGAGGCAGGTAGACACTAACCAGGTCTGGTTTATACTTTGGTGTTCCTGAGGCAGGTAGATACTAACCAGGTCTGTTTTATACTTTGGTGTTCCTGAGGCAGGTAGACACTAACCAGGTCTGGTTTATACTTTGGTGTTCCTGAGGCAGGTAGACACTAACCAGGTCTGGTTTATACTTTGGTGTTCCTGAGGCAGGTAGATACTAACCAGGTCTGTTTTATACTTTGGTGTTCCTGAGGCAGGTAGACACTAACCAGGTCTGGTTTATACTTTGGTGTTCCTGAGGCAGGTAGACACTAACCAGGTCTGGTTTATACTTTGGTGTTCCTGAGGCAGGTAGACACTAACCAGGTCTGGTTTATACTTTGGTGTTCCTGAGGCAGGTAGATACTAACCAGGTCTGTTTTATACTTTGGTGTTCCTGAGGCAGGTAGACACTAACCAGGTCTGGTTTTATACTTGTTCCAGGCTCCAGTTTGAAGGATTTTCCAGTGCTTTAACTTGTATCTGTTTTAACGTGTGGCTTACTGTTGTACTAACCCTGTGGCCTTGTGTCCTCCAGCTCAGTGGGACGCTGTGAACCACTCTGCTCCTCCCTCAGAGTCTGAGGAGGGGGACGTGGAGTGTCCAGGTCTGACTCCCCCTACTGCCCCCCACCTGCTCATTACACCCTCCCCTCCTGCTGCCTCCTGCCCCCATCAGGGACGCACTGTCGCCTCATGTTAGTTAGAATCTCAGTGTTAATGGTTTCGTCTCAGAGCAGTTTTAATGGAGCGGCTGAGTGAGTGTCGCTCTGGCCTCACAGTAAGACGGTCCTGGGTTCGAGTCCCGAGCTGGACCAAACCTCTCTGTGGGGTTTACCTCTGGGTACATCTCCCACGGCTGCAGACAGAGTGCACTGGTCTTCAATCTTTACCTTGGGAGCTACCATTAGCTTACAGAAGGATTCAGGAATGTGGCTCGTGATCCTAAACCATTAGAAGTCATTGCATCTAATTGAACTGTTTTCATTATGTTCACTAATGTAAGGTTATAGCAGCGGTCTCCAGCCTGTAGCTCGCCAAACGGTTTAGAGATGACCAAATCAAATAATATACTAAATATTTAAGATTGTATTATTCATAATTGCACTAATAATGTGTGATGTGAATACAGACTGTACCCACTCTCAGACAAACAGATATATCACCAACTCTTTTCCCATGGCTTAAAGGAGTAGCTCTCTGCCTTTAGCGTCCCGGGAAAGTAGCTCTCTGGGTGGAAGAGGTTTGAAACATCTGGGTTCTAGAGTCATAATGAAACACTGATGTAAAATATATATGAAAGAGTCAGTAGGAGAGCCCTGCCCTGGTGGGACTGGAAACGTGCAGAGGATAAGAATGTACTTTAGTTTACATTATTATGGAGCAGTTGATTTCATTGTGATCCAAAATGTGTATTTCTCGTGGGGGAAATGTCTTGGAAGCTGCCCATACAAGATTGATCATATTGGAATGGTTTCAACACGGCCAGGCCTCCCTCACACAGTGCCTCCCTGATCAACCTCAACGTTTTTCATTCATCCTTTTCCTCCTCAGCTCATCGTGTTTAGTGGAATCATCTCCGTAACCAGTTTATTTGGCCAAAACATTCCCCTTTAAACACATTCAGGCAGTTGTCAAGGCAACGTAAAGGACTGAGAATGTGTTTTTCTTGCTGTGATAGTTTGTGTGTTCATTGTGGATGAGTAGGAGTCGTGTTTTAAACCTGGGCTGTCGGACTGGTTCACTGTGGCTGCGGGTTTTCACTCCAACTAAGCAGGAGCACCGCAGACTCCGCCCAGATGTGCTCCTGCGTGGTTGGAGTGAAAACCTGCAGCCACAGTGAACCTGGGCCGTCGGACTGGTTCACTGTGGCTGCGGGTTTTCACTCCAACCAAGCAGGAGCACCGCAGACTCCGCCCAGATGTGCTCCTGCGTTGTTGGAGTGAAAACCTGCAGCCACAGTGAACCTGGGCTGTCGGACTGGTTCACTGTGGCTGCAGGTTTTCACTCCAACCAAGCAGGAGCACCGCAGACTCCGCCCAGATGTGCTCCTGCGTGGTTGGAGTGAAAACCTGCAGCCACAGTGAACCTGGGCTGTCGGACTGGTTCACTGTGGCTGCAGGTTTTCACTCCAACCAAGCAGGAGCACCGCAGACTCCGCCCAGATGTGCTCCCGCGTGGTTGGAGTGAAAACCTGCAGCCACAGTGAACCTGGGCTGTCGGACTGGTTCACTGTGGCTGCAGGTTTTCACTCCAACCAAGCAGGAGCACCGCAGACTCCGCCCAGATGTGCTCCTGCGTGGTTGGAGTGAAAACCTGCAGCCACAGCTGCCTTTTGAGGACCGGACTCAAACCAGTATTTGAAAGTAAAACCAGTCCATGGACTTGAATGCTGAGGTCTTTGTTTTTGCCAAATAAACGTTTATTACTAAATGTCCAGACGCCGCTGTCAACACTAACTACAAACCTCAGGGTCGGTCAAAGAAAAAGATTTGTGATATAAAAAGGCTGTCACTTTTTGAACTGAGCATCTGTTAAAAATCACTGTACATCTAAAAATGTATTAAATCTGTCCGTTATCTTCTGCTTTATCCGTTGCCGGGTCACAGAGGCAGCAGTCTAAGCAGAGATCCCAGACTAGTGTAGACTCCTCACACCCTTCTCCAGGCAGTCCCAGGCAGTCCCAGGCCAGCTGAGTCCCTCTGTCCTGGGTCTTCCCCTGGTCTCCCTAAATCAATACATTATTTTCCATTTTCTCTTTTTAGCACCTTTTGAACATCTGACTCTGTCCTGTTGCATTGACTATCGACCCCCTGAATATTATTACACCTGGTTTGGTTTGATGGTTTGGTTTGATGGTTTGGCTGCAGTGGCGTCTGGGAAGTGTGTTGTAGTTGTGTCTTCAGTTTTCAGTCAAACATCTGTTGCTTCTGTTTGTGTTGAATAAAACCCAGAGGGCCCTGAACATAACACTACTGTCAATATTTACAGGTATAATGTCTGGAAACGGCCCCCAGGCCCCCAACAGCTACAACCATGTGGAGAGCCAACCAGGTGACACTGTTTGCTCACACTTAAAGGAGACACATTATGCTGAATGTAGCTTCCTTCATCAGAAACAGACCTGGGGCAGTTTTTAGATCCATCATATCAGGAACTGGCACGAACGTGAAGCTCCGCCCCTTCTGTCTAAAAGCTGTCAGTCCTGTACTAGGATGATGTCATTCTACCACTATGACATCACTATGACATCATAGTCGTTCTCTATCTTTAAAAACAAAAGTATTGCTCATAAATGACAGTCTGCAATCACTCATCTGTGTTTGCTGCCGGTAAATTTCAAAAACAAATCAAATATTGAGTAGAATTTTTTTTTTTAATCCATTGATTTAGTAAATCTCTGAGGACAAAATGTAAAGAAACTAAAGAGTACTAAATTAACTATACATCTACAAATAGATTTCATTTATTCTGAACTCAGTCCTGAGATGACTTTAATTTTTTACCCTTCATACTTGTTCCATTGTATATTTTCTACTGAAGATATTTCACATTCTGAGACATGAATCAGAGTAAAAAGTCATTATTTTTTGTGGTAAAAACAATTAATAATATTTCTTTATGAACTGATATTCAGATTGTAGGTTGCTTTGTTGAAAAGGGCCAGTGCAAATAAATGAAAGTGCAATGTAAATAAGTGATATGTATTATTATTCTTAACATGTGGTTGCTCTCCTCCTTAGGCGCCCCCCCTCCGCCCGGACCCCCAGGACGACACTTAGGGCACTACCCGTCTCTGCCGCCCGGGTATCAGAGCTCTCCCTCTGGGCACACGACGCAGCCTTACCCCCTGAAGCAGCAGCCGTACCAGCAGGTCACACATTCATGCATCATTCTGGGTTATTGTAATCACCAGGGTTTGTGCGTTTGCATCCTTTTCATTGTGACGTCCTGTTACTTACAAACCTGGAATTTACTTTGGCTCATCACGCAAACAAGTTATTAAAGTAAAAATGGGTTTAAAGGCATAAAACATGACATTTGTACATATATTTGCATACAACTAGAAGAGTTGTGGCACTGTTTTCATGTTCATGTTGGGACACAAGGCAACTTGGTGCTTAATGCTGCACTAACTGACTTTATTTTCATTGGAATAAACGTCCTTTTGAAGAATATAGTGCAGGTTTGTGCTGGCGTGACATATTTTAGATTGAGTTTTGGTTAAACAAGGAAGAGAAAGTGTTTCGGGTCTCAGATTGTGACACAGCGGACCACTGGCCCCCGCTTTCGTGAGAAAAGCCACAGGTCTGTGGTTAGCACCATAGTTAGCACCGACAGCTGAGTTAGCACAACAATCCGCGGAGGCTAACCTGGAACTTCCCGTGTCGTTACTGCTTACTCAGCGAAACATCCATCCAAAAGAGTCTCGTCCTCTCCGCACTTCCCGTTTGTCATTCTATGGACACGCCATCCACGTGCAAAAGTGCCATATTGTTCCATATTGAGAGAAGCTAGCTCCGAAGCTAACAGCACAGAGCACAGGCTGCGGGGGGCGAAAGCTCCGTGGGTGTGGGGAGGGCGAGCAGAGTGCAGCTTTAATGGAACAATATTAAAATCATAAATAATCAAAATACATGAAAAGAGTGAAGATACATACAACCTTAGTTTTATTTACAGCTAAACTGATCCCTTTACTTTTCTGGACGATAAGCTTCTACTTGTTTCTAGTCCCTTAAACCCTGTGGCTAATACAGAGATGTGTCATGTGTGTATTTTTAATGTGGCACAGAGTTTATGAACTTATTAGTTAGACACCAGTTTCAGTAGCTACAGGTTTATGGTCAAAACAGTCTCTCTGCTGCATTAACATGAATCCCTGTGGCTTATACTCGGGTGCAGCCTGTATGTGCACAATATGTACTTTAAGTGCAGGTGGAGATTTTCTACTTCTTTATTATGTTAAAGACAGACATTTTATACTTGTTCTTTGATGCTAGAGTTAAGAGATTTTATAATATTTGAATTAGAACAGAGTTATTGTTTATCTTGTGCTGTGTGCTCCTCATTCCTACTGTTCTGTACCTCGTGATGCAACACTGAAATGTCCCTACAGAGTGACGAATAAAGGATCTCATAATCTTATACTTAGGTGCGCCTTATAGTTCAGAAAGTATGTATTTGTTAAAGGATGCAGCTGAACCTCTTGGCAGGTGTCTGTGTGCCGTGAGTGCTTTTCCAGTTGTATTGACGGTGTCCCTCTCTGTAGCCCGGCCCGGCTCAGCTCAGCCCCTCCCTCGCTGCCCTGAGTCTGCAGTCTGGGACCCCCGAGGCCCTGAGGGTGGTGAACCTACTGCAGGAGAGGAACCTGCTCCCAGCCGGACCCATCACTCCCCCCACGCCCTGCCTCCCCCAGGACCTGCAGAGGGTCAACTGTAACCCCGAGTGAGTCACTTTAGTGTTCTCTGTGTGTCGTTTAGCGTAGATCATGTGGTGCTGATTATTTAAACCACACCTGGCACCCTGTAGTCTTAAACACGAGGCCGTGGTCTGTGAAAGGCGCTATATTAATAAAGATTACTTACTTACTTAAAGTCTCTGCTCATTAAAGGATTCGTATTTTATTGTCAAAAGAGATTTCTGTGTTATTGCCACTGCTGAACCTGATGAGAACCTGACAGAGACCCACTGCAGCACTCGTCTCTTTAACTTCAGAAAACTAAAATCCTTAACTGTTGTTTTATAATGTGCTTTTTTGAAAAGGAGATGCCCCCCCGATATGCAAATGCTACTGTTTGAAACTGAAAGTAAATAGACTTTATCTGTTAATCCTTTGTCCTTCAAGTAAACCTGTTTGTTTTTGTTTGTGTGTGTGTGTGTATCTCTCTGTGTCTGTGTGTGTGTGTGTCTCTGTGTGTGTGTCTGTGTGTGTGTGTGTCTCTGTGTGTGTGTCTGTGTGTGTGTGTGTCTCTGTGTCTGTGTGTCTGTCTGTGTGTGTGTGTGTGTGTGTGCGTCTCTGTGTCTGTGTGTCTCTGTGTCTGTCTGTCTGTGTGTGTGTCTCTCGCTCGCTCTCTCTTGCTCGCACTCTCTCGCTCTGTCTGTGTGTGTGTGTGTCGCTCGCTCGCTCTCGCTCTCTCACTCTTGTTCTCTCTCTCTTGCTCTCGCTCTCTCTCACTCTTGCTCTCTCACTCTTGTTCTCTCTCTCTTGCTCTCGCTCTCTCTCACTCTTGCTCTCTCACTCTTGTTCTCTCTCTCTTGCTCTCGCTCTCTCTCACTCTTGCTCTCTCACTCTTGTTCTCTCTCTCTCGCTCTCTCTCTTGCTCTCTCTCTCTCTCTCTCTCTCTCTCTCTCTCTCTCTCTCTCTCTCTCTCGCTCTCGCTCTCGCTCTCGCTCTCGCTCTCGCTCTCGCTCTCGCTCTCGCTCGCTCTCTCTCGCTCTCTCTCTGTGTGTTTTTTTTGTGTGTTCCAGAGTGTTCCGCGCCACACTGACCAGCATCCCCCAGAACCAGTCTCTGCTGAACAAAGCCAAGCTGCCCCTCGGCCTCCTGCTGCACCCCTTCAAAGACCTCTCGGTATTCTGCCTCTCTGTGTTTATCTGTGTTCTACAGTCAGGTCTGACTCTGTGTTTATCTGTGTTCTACCGTCAGGGCTGACTCTGTTTATCTGTGTTCTACAGTCAGGGCTGACTCTCTCTGTGTTTATCTGTGTTCTACAGTCAGGTCTGACTCTGTGTTTATCTGTGTTCTACAGTCAGGTCTGACTCTCTGTGTTTATCTGTGTTCTGCAGTCAGGGCTGACTCTCTCTGTGTTTATCTGTGTTCTACAGTCAGGTCTGACTCTCTGTGTTTATCTGTGTTCTGCAGTCAGGGCTGACTCTCTCTGTGTTTATCTGTGTTCTGCAGTCAGGGCTGACTCTCTCTGTGTTTATCTGTGTTCTACAGTCAGGGCTGACTCTCTCTGTGTTTATCTGTGTTCTACAGTCAGGTCTGACTCTGTGTTTATCTGTGTTCTACAGTCAGGTCTGACTCTGTTTATCTGTGTTCTACAGTCAGGGCTGACTCTGTGTTTATCTGTGTTCTGCAGTCAGGGCTGACTCTGTGTTTATCTGTGTTCTGCAGTCAGGGCTGACTCTCTCTGTGTTTATCTGTGTTCTACAGTCAGGGCTGACTCTCTCTGTGTTTATCTGTGTTCTACAGTCAGGGCTGACTCTCTCTGTGTTTATCTGTGTTCTACAGTCAGGTCTGACTCTGTGTTTATCTGTGTTCTACAGTCAGGGCTGACTCTCTCTGTGTTTATCTGTGTTCTACAGTCAGGGCTGACTCTCTCTGTGTTTATCTGTGTTTATCTGTGTTCTACAGTCAGGGCTGACTCTCTCTGTGTTTATCTGTGTTCTACAGTCAGGTCTGACTCTCTGTGTTTATCTGTGTTCTACAGTCAGGGCTGACTCTCTCTGTGTTGATCTGTGTTCTACAGTCAGGTCTGACTCTGTGTTTATCTGTGTTCTACAGTCAGGGCTGACTCTGTGTTTATCTGTGTTCTACAGTCAGGGCTGACTCTGTGTTTATCTGTTCTACAGTCAGGGCTGACTCTGTGTTTATCTGTGTTCTACAGTCAGGGCTGACTCTGTGTTTATCTGTGTTCTACAGTCAGGTCTGACTCTCTGTGTTTATCTGTGTGCTACAGTCAGGTCTGACTCTGTTTATCTGTGTTCTACAGTCAGGTCTGACTCTGTTTATCTGTGTTCTACAGTCAGGGCTGACTCTGTGTTTATCTGTGTTCTACAGTCAGGGCTGACTCTGTGTTTATCTGTGTTCTACAGTCAGGGCTGACTCTGTGTTTATCTGTGTTCTACAGTCAGGGCTGACTCTCTGTGTGTTTATCTGTGTTCTACAGTCAGGGCTGACTGTGTTTATCTGTGTTCTACAGTCAGGTCTGACTCTGTGTTTATCTGTGTTCTACAGTCAGGTCTGACTCTGTGTTTATCTGTGTTCTACAGTCAGGTCTGACTCTGTGTTTATCTGTGTTCTACAGTCAGGGCTGACTCTGTGTTTATCTGTGTTCTACAGTCAGGTCTGACTCTCTGTGTTTATCTGTGTTCTACAGTCAGGTCTGACTCTCTGTGTTTATCTGTGTTCTACAGTCAGGTCTGACTCTGTGTTTATCTGTGTTCTACAGTCAGGTCTGACTCTGTGTTTATCTGTGTTCTACAGTCAGGTCTGACTCTGTGTTTATCTGTGTTCTACAGTCAGGTCTGACTCTGTGTTTATCTGTGTTCTACAGTCAGGGCTGACTCTCTCTGTGTTTATCTGTGTTCTACAGTCAGGGCTGACTCTGTGTTAATCTGTGTTCTACAGTCAGGGCTGACTCTCTGTGTGTTTATCTGTGTTCTACAGTCAGGTCTGACTCTCTGTGTTTATCTGTGTTCTGCAGTCAGGGCTGACTCTCTCTGTGTTTATCTGTGTTCTACAGTCAGGGCTGACTCTGTGTTAATCTGTGTTCTACAGTCAGGTCTGACTCTGTGTTTATCTGTGTTCTACAGTCAGGGCTGACTCTCTCTGTGTTTATCTGTGTTCTACAGTCAGGGCTGACTCTGTGTTTATCTGTGTTCTACAGTCAGGGCTGACTCTCTCTGTGTTTATCTGTGTTCTACAGTCAGGGCTGACTCTGTGTTTATCTGTGTTCTACAGTCAGGTCTGACTCTGTGTTTATCTGTGTTCTACAGTCAGGGCTGACTCTCTCTGTGTTTATCTGTGTTCTACAGTCAGGGCTGACTCTGTGTTTATCTGTGTTCTACAGTCAGATCTGACTCTCTGTGTTTATCTGTGTTCTACAGTCAGGTCTGACTCTCTGTGTGTTTTTGCAGCAGTTGCCGGTGGTGACGTCGAGTACGATCGTGCGCTGTCGCTCGTGTCGCACCTACATCAATCCTTTTGTGTCGTTTTTGGACCAGAGACGATGGAAGTGCAACCTGTGCTACCGGGTCAATGAAGGTGAGACCAGCAGGGCAAGGCCTGGATAGTGCTGTGATGGGAGACCTTAAACACCAGGTGCCACAGTGGGGAGTCTGTGAAGTGGCAAACAGCTGTGAGCCAATTATTAACAAATCTCACTTTGCCTCTAATAAGTCAAATTAGTTTCACGCTGAAAGTTGAACTACAGAAGTAAATAAACTTTTGAGCAATAAGCTATTTTACAGTTTCAGCTCTATAGTATGGGAGAATATATAAAAGGTTGTTTTAGTGGCAGTGACAGATAAAGATATTTTTTAGTTTTTTAGAACATTATATACTTTTAGGTGAATTCATAACTTCTGCTGCAGTTAAATAGACCAGATCTTAACATCTTTTTAGTGCTGTCCTTTTAAATGATTGTATAGTTCTATCGTCTGGGTGAAGGCACTTCCTCCAACATCTGTGTCAAAGCTGTATATTATAATATATATTATGTATATTTGACAAATGCAAAACTGTGATTTGAAGCCAGTGGCAAAACCTTAGAGCGTCACCTGCTCATGTTTGCACTTGTTCTTGTCCCACTTTCACAAAGACACAAACACAGGTGTCCAAAGTGTAACAATCCAAGAGTCTGTGATTTATGAAACTAATGGAAGACATTTGTATCAAAGTGAATCCAAGCTGTGGAGAAGTGAGACCTTTCAGCGGGGGCCTTATCCTGCCCTGATCAAAGCCACAGCCTTTTTACTACAGTGAGGGAGAGAGAGGAGGGAGAGAGGTGAGGGAGAGAGGTGAGGGAGAGGAGGGAGGGAGAGGTGAGGGAGAGAGGTGAGGGAGAGAGAGGAGGGAGAGAGAGGAGGGAGAGAGAGAGGGAGAGAGAGAGAGAGAGAGAGGGAGAGAGAGGAGAGAGGAGAGGAGGGAGAGGAGAGAGAGAGGAGGGAGAGAGAGAGGAGGAGAGAGAGGAGGAGAGAGAGGGGGAGGAGAGAGGGAGAGAGAGGAGAGAGAGAGAGAGAGGAGAGGAGAGAGAGGAGAGGAGAGAGAGGAGGAGAGAGAGGAGGGAGGGAGAGGAGAGAGGGAGAGGAGAGGGGGAGGGAGAGAGGGAGAGAGAGAGAGGAGGAGAGAGGAGAGGAGGAGAGAGAGAGAGGAGAGAGAGGAGAGGAGAGAGAGAGAGGAGAGAGAGAGGAGGAGAGAGAGAGGGAGAGAGAGAGGAGAGAGAGAGAGAGAGAGAGGAGGGAGAGAGAGGAGGGAGAGAGAGGAGGAGAGAGAGAGAGGAGAGAGAGGAGGGAGAGAGGAGGGAGAGAGAGGAGGAAGAGAGAGAGAGGAGAGAGAGAGAGAGGTGAGAGAGAGAGAGGTGAGAGAGAGAGAGGTGAGGGAGAGAGAGGTGAGAGAGAGAGGTGAGGGAGAGAGAGGAGGGAGAGAGAGGAGGGAGAGAGAGGAGGGAGAGAGAGGAGGGAGAGAGAGGAGGGAGAGAGGGTGAGAGAGAGAGGTGAGAGAGAGAGAGGAGGGAGAGAGAGAGAGGAGGGAGGGAGAGAGAGGGAGAGAGTGTGAGGGAGAGAGAGGAGTCTGTGAGAGGGAGTTTTTATCAGTCTAATACATGGAGCCTCTTACACACCTGGAGCCTGTGTCTGAATGAACAGACAGTGTTGAGTTTGAGTATTTTTCAGTGTCTTATGTCGTTTATATAATGAATATAATCCAGTCTGTGATCCACAATGTTCTGTATGTTTATAATGAATATAATCCAGTCTGTGATCCACAATGTTCTGTATGTTTATAATGAATATAATCCAGTCTGTGATCCACAATGTTCTGTATGTTTATAATGAATATAATCATCTGTGAATGTATGTTATATGAATAATCCAGTCTGTGATCCACAATGTTCTGTATGTTTATAATGAATATAATCCAGTCTGTGATCCACAATGTTCTGTATGTTTATAATGAATATAATCCAGTCTGTGATCCACAATGTTCTGTATGTTTATAATGAATATAATCCAGTCTGTGATCCACAATGTTCTGTATGTTTATAATGAATATAATCCAGTCTGTGATCCACAATGTTCTGTATGTTTATAATGAATATAATCCAGTCTGTGATCCACAATGTTCTGTATGTTTATAATGAATATAATCCAGTCTGTGATCCACAATGTTCTGTATGTTTATAATGAATATAATCCAGTCTGTGATCCACAATGTTCTGTATGTTTATAATGAATATAATCCAGTCTGTGATCCACAATGTTCTGTATGTTTATAATGAATATAATCCAGTCTGTGATCCACAATGTTCTGTATGTTTATAATGAATATAATCCAGTCTGTGATCCACAATGTTCTGTATGTTTATAATGAATATAATCCAGTCTGTGATCCACAATGTTCTGTATGTTTATAATGAATATAATCCAGTCTGTGATCCACAATGTTCTGTATGTTTATAATGAATATAATCCAGTCTGTGATCCACAATGTTCTGTATGTTTATAATGAATATAATCCAGTCTGTGATCCACAATGTTCTGTATGTTTATAATGAATATAATCCAGTCTGTGATCCACAATGTTCTGTATGTTTCTGATTTAGTTCCAGAGGAGTTCATGTACAACCCAGTGAGCCGAGCGTACGGAGAGCCTCACAAGAGACCAGAGGTTCAGAACGCTACCATCGAGTTCATCGCCCCCTCGGAATACATGGTACACACACAGACACACACACAGGCACACACACAGGCACACGCACAGGCACACAGACACACACCTGTCTCGGAATACATGGTACACACACAGGCACACACACATGCACGCAGACACACACCTGTCTCGGAATACATGGTACACACACAGGCACACACAGGCACGCAGACACACACCTGTCTCGGAATACATGGTACACACACACACACACACAGGCACGCAGACACACACCTGTCTCGGAATACATGGTACACACACAGGCACACACACATGCACGCAGACACACACCTGTCTCGGAATACATGGTACACACACAGGCACACGCACAGGCACACGCACAGGCACGCAGACACACACCTGTCTCGGAATACATGGTACACACACAGGCACGCAGACACACACCTGTCTCGGAATACACAATACAATACAATACACAATACAATACAATACAATTTATTCTTGTATAGCCCTAGGTCACAACAGAAGTCATCTCAGAGGACTTAACAAAACCATTGAAATCACCAACACAGGTCAGAGAATCAACAGTTAAAACACATGAAGAATATAAAGCACACACAGAAGAAAATGTCCATACATGTTGTAGAATGCTAAAGTGTCCTGATCATCACCAATCCTTTCTGTTGGACACTAACTGTCCAACAAGACCCTCCTGCATCGACAAGGAAAACCTCTTAAAAAACCCAGTGGGAAAAAGTGAGAAACCTTGGGGAGAACTAGGGAAACCCACAGGGAGGGAGACCCATATGAGAAAGGGATCCGCTCCTCCGGACGGACAGACTAATGATCTAGGACCTAAGCTAGCTACAGAACGTGGACCAGTGGACGCTGAACGTGGACAGGTCCGGTGCAGGACTGAAGCACTCCCAGGCGGGTCGGGCGGGGCAGTCCGCAGGTGTAGATGGAAGAGGCCAGGCTCAGAGATCCCGTCATCGTACCATGAAACAGACAATGGGACAACGGGTGAATAGCAATGAACAAACTACAGTCAGAATCCTAAAAATGCTAACAGATAAAGTAGGAAGGAGGAGAGGATAGTGCTCAAGTTACCATACTTCTCCCAGCAAACTGACTCCCTATGCAGCTTGACTAACACTCTGAGGAGTTTAACCTTCTCCGAGTCTTACCTTCCTAGCCATATGCTAAACTAAAGAGGACTGTTTTAAACCTAGCCTTGAATAAAGAATAACATACAGCATAATATATAACATAATATACAACATAACACAATACATTATTGAATAATATATAACATAATATATAACATAATACAGCATATATATATAATATATACACTACATATTATATATGACCTAATTATATGCTAAATTAAAGTAAAGTGCTTTAAGCCTGGCCTTGAATGTGGAGACCGTATCTGCTTCCTTAACATAAATGAAGCTGATTCCACAGTAAAGGAGCTTGGAGCTAAATGCTCTGCCACCAACAGTGACCTTTGAGACCTTAGGGACCACCAGACGTCTGGCGTTTTGTGAGCGCAACGCTCGACCTGGTTGATACGACACTAACGTGTCTTGGAGATAAGAAGGAGCCAAGCCATTTATGGCTTTATATGTTAAGAGAAGGATTTTAAACTTTATTCTGTACTCCACAGGGAGCCAGTGGAGTGATTTTAACACCGGAGTTATGTGCTCCCTCCTTTTGGTACCTGTTAAGATCCTAGCTGCTGTATTCTGAACGAGCTGGAAGCTCTTCAAAGAGGCTTTAGGGCACGCTGCCAGTAAAGCGTTACAGTAGTCGAGCCTTGAGGTGACAAACGCGTGAATGAGTTTTTCCGCGTCACTTTTAGGAAGGAAATTCCTAATTTTAGCGATGTTCCGTAAGTGGAAGTACGCCGTTTTAGTTGCTTGGCTTATATAAGCCTTGAAGGAGAGTTCTTGGTCAAAAATGACTCCAAGATTCCTCACAGTGTTACTGGGTATAATACTGACATTATCGAGAGTAACCATCTGGTTAGTGAGGGAGTCACGCAGGCGCTTCGGACCGAGTAGGATCACTTCTGTCTTCTCCGGGTTGAGAAGTAGGAAGTTAAGAGTCATCCACATTTTAAGGTCCTTTATGCAGGCACTGAGCTTTTCTAGCTGATCTGTCTGATTAGGCTTCATCGACAGATAAAGCTGTGTGTCATCTGCAGCAGTGGAAATTAATTCCATGCTTTTTAATAATGTTTCCCAGTGGCAGCATGTAGAGAGTAAAAAGAATCGGTCCGAGTACCGAACCCTGCGGCACACCGAATTCCACTCCAGAATAAGGCGACGAGTCCTGATTCACATTGACGAAGTGATATCGATCTGATAAATAGGATTTAAACCAGCCAAGGGCTGTTCCTCTAAGACCTATATCACATTCTAGCCTCTGCAGTAGAATGCTGTGGTCTATTGTGTCAAATGCAGCACTAAGGTCCAGTAGGACCAGCACTGACACTTGTCCATTATCGGCAGCTAGTAGTAAGTCATTTGTGACTTTGACTAGTGCCGTTTCAGTGCTATGATGAGCTCTGAATCCTGATTGAAAGACTTCAAACATATCATTTTCCTGCAGGTGGCAGCGGAGCTGCTCAGCTATAAGTTTTTCCAGGATTTTAGATATAAAAGTGAGGTTCGAGATCGGTCTGTAGTTTGTAAGTATTTCTGGGTCCAGGTTTGTTTTCTTCAGAAGGGGTTTGATTACCGCGGTTTTAAAAGCTTGTGGGACATAGCCACATTGTATGGATGCGTTTATTATATTTACGATAGGCTCAATTATCAAAGGAAGTATGTCTTTGAAGAGCCATGTCGGGACTGCGTCTAACATGCAAGTTGAGGCTTTTGAGGATGTGACCACAGAGATCACCTCTGCTTGGCTCACAGCCATGAATTTATTAAGGCCCACTGAAGAGTCTAAGTGGGAAGTCACGTATGCCGCTTCAACCTGTCCACCACTAACAGCAGGAGCAACCTCCTCCAGCTTGTCACGGATGGATGTAATTTTATTATTAAAGAAGTGGAGAAAGTCGACACTGCTCAGTGAGCTTGGAATTTTAGGCTCGATTGCGCTATGGCAGTTTGTGAGTTTAGCGACGGTACCAAACAAAAATCTACTGTTGTTTTTATTCGCTTCTATTAAAGTTGAATAGTATTGAGTTCGAGCCCCGCGAAGGGCCTTCTTGTAGTTTCGGAGACCTGCTTTCCACTCCCTGTGGACAGGCTCCGAGTGGGAGTGGCGATATAGCCTCTCCAATTTTCTGACGTCCTGTTTTAAAGTGTGGAGTTGAACACTGTACCAGGGCGACGATGATCTAATCCTAATGGTTTTCTGTTTTAAAGGAGCTGCTGCATTTAATGCAGATTTTAAAGACTCCATAGTGTTGCCCACCGTTTGGTCAATGACTGAGGGACTGCAGCTGCTGTGAACAGGTTCACCTGCAGCAGTATTCAACATAGGCTGTATTAGTTCTTTGAACCTTGTGATAGATTTATCATTTAAGGTTCTTTTCATTATGGTTTTATCTTGCGGGACAGGAAAGTCCTCCAAAGCGAGATCAAACGTGATCAAGAAATGGTCAGACAGCAACGAGCTTTGACGCTGGATGTCAACATTGGAGACATCACAGCCGTAGGTCAGGACAAGGTCCAAGGTGTGGTTATGAATGTGAGTAGGTTCCTCAACATTCTGAGTAAAACCAACACCATCTAGTACGGCGCTGAAAGCTTTGTTTAAGCTGTCAGTGCTGTCGTCCACATGTATATTGAAGTCTCCAGCTATAACTATGTTTTCCCATTCCAAAACTAGGTTTGAAATGAAGTCAGAGAATTCTGACATGGTAAGTAAGTAAGTAAGTTTTTAGTAAGTAAGTAAGTTTTTATTTATATACCGCCTTTTCACTGCAGATCTGAGTCTCAAAGCGGTTTACAATTGTTAATTTTTTGGGCATTTGTCTCTCACTCCACACAGAGATGGGAGGGGCCAGTACAGGAAGCACATGCCAGAACTATTGGACATATTTTTTAGTGGTAGGGGAAACCGGAGTACCCGGAGGAAACCTACGCAGACACGGGGAGAACATGCAAACTCCACTCAGAAAGGCCCTGGTCCGACCGGGATTCGAACCCAGGACCTTCTTGCTGAGAGGCGAGAGTGCTATCCACTCAGCCACCGTGCCGCCCGGTACACACACAGGCACACGCACAGGCACGCAGACACACACCTGTCTCGGAATACATGGTACACACACAGGCACACGCACAGGCACGCAGACACACACCTGTCTCGGAATACATGGTATACACACAGGCACACACAGGCACGCAGACACACACCTGTCTCAGAATACATGGTACACACACAGGCACACACAGGCACGCAGACACACACCTGTCTCGGAATACATGGTACAGGCACAGGCACGCAGACACACACCTGTCTCGGAATACATGGTACACACACAGGCACACACACAGGCACGCAGACACACACCTGTCTCGGAATACATGGTACACACACAGGCACACGCACAGGCACGCAGACACACACCTGTCTCGGAATACATGGTACACACACAGGCACACGCACAGGCACGCAGACACACACCTGTCTCGGAATACATGGTACACACACAGGCACACACAGGCACGCAGACACACACCTGTCTCAGAATACATGGTACACACACAGGCACACACAGGCACGCAGACACACACCTGTCTCGGAATACATGGTACAGGCACAGGCACGCAGACACACACCTGTCTCGGAATACATGGTACACACACAGGCACACACACAGGCACGCAGACACACACCTGTCTCGGAATACATGGTACACACACAGGCACACGCACAGGCACGCAGACACACACCTGTCTCGGAATACATGGTACACACACAGGCACACACAGGCCCGCAGACACACACCTGTCTCGGAATACATGGTACACACACAGGCACACGCACAGGCACGCAGACACACACCTGTCTCGGAATACATGGTACACACACAGGCACACACAGGCACGCAGACACACACCTGTCTCGGAATACATGGTACACACACAGGCACACACAGGCACGCAGACACACACCTGTCTCAGAATACATGGTACACACACAGGCACACACAGGCACGCAGACACACACCTGTCTCAGAATACATGGTACACACGCAGACACACACATGTTAGATCGCTCTGTCTCTCCCTGTCTCTCTCTCTCTTTGTCTCTGTCTGGTCTATAACTGGTTTATAACTGGTCCGTAGCTGGTCTGTAGCTGGTCTGTAGCTGGTCCGTAGCTGGTCCGTAGCTGGTCTGTAGCTGGTCTGTAGCTGGTCCGTAGCTGGTCTGTAGCTGGTCTGTAGCTGGTCCGTAGTAGGGTTTAATCCCGGGATACGGGATTCCCGGGAAATCTGATAAACTATTTCCCGATTCCCCGGAAATGTTATGACGAGAAACGGGAAATGAAAGTAAATGAAAAATCCAGTGCGCTCCTATAGAGCACGTTTATTGTTGTTCAAAGTTCAAACATATTTTATTTACAATCAACATGTCTACAGCTGAGAGGATGGCTCATAAATTGTGTTTTTGAAACAAATATGGGTCTTAATCGCGCTAAACCACGACTTGTAATGAGGCCAGGCTCAGGGTACGGGGCGCATGTGAGCCCAGAATTTGGTTACGTCCAATTCTATCAGAAAGCTCCTTTCTTTTTTTCATCTAAGGGCAGCAACAGGTTTGGCTAACATACATATAACACATTTTAAGATCATATAAAATGCATTTATGGTAATGTTCTGCTTCCAATGACGATAGGAATGATAAGGAAGAGAGGAGAAGGGTAAGAAGGTTGATATTAGAAATTGGATGCGCCCGAGAGCCGGCTGCAGCGAAAACACAGAGGAGTTTATGGAGGTGGCACCCATTTTGTTTTACGCTTTAAAACTCTTTGGGATTATTTCCAAATGGAGGATTACATATCTGTGCTCAAACTATTATCTGGACTTAAACATGAAACTGGTCTGTGCTGTTCATTAATAACTAAGGTAAGACCCATAACACAATTGGAAATGTGCCTTTTACGAACTTTTGCGTTTTGTTTGAGCAAACAATGCGGGCCATGGAAAACATTCTGCTGTAGCCAAACTAATTGTGAATAAGCCGCTCTGTAGGTTCTGTTGATTTATATGATATATGTTCGTCTGACAGGGCTGAAGTCAGTGCCTCCAAACCACACGTCACTGGTCGACAAGTGGATTACAGACATTTAGAATCTCATAATAGTGAAATTCCTGATGAAAGCCCATCAACAAAACGTCTGAAAACGCTATGGCTACTTTAGCAAAGCACGTCGCTCGGTGAAACACTAGTGGAGACGGCAGCTTTTGTTGGATTATATATTTGAGTGATATCATACATTACTTGGGCTAAAAACAAACACTACAAACAACAGCTATTTCCCGGGATTTCCCGGGAAAGGCGTCGTCTTTTCCCGGGATTTGATATGTCTCCGCAGCTGGTCCGTAGCTGGTCCGCAGCTGGTCCGTAGCTGGTCCGTAGCTGGTCCGTAGCTGGTCCGTAGCTGGTCCGTAGCTGGTCCGTAGCTGGTCCGTAGCTGGTCCGTAGCTGGTCCGTAGCTGGTCCGTAGCTGGTCCGTAGCTGGTCCGTAGATGGTCCGTAGATGGTCCGTAGCTGGTCCGTAGCTGGTCCGTAGCTGGTCCGTAGCTGGTCCGTAGCTGGTCCGTAGCTGGTCCGTAGCTGGTCCGTAGCTGGTCCGTAGCTGGTCCGTAGCTGGTCCGTAGCTGGTCCGTAGCTGGTCTGTAGCTGGTCTGTAACTGTGTCTCCCATGTGTCCTGCAGCTGAGGCCTCCGCAGCCGGCCGTCTATCTGTTTGTCCTGGACGTGTCGCACAACGCTCTGGAGACTGGTTATCTGCACGTCTTCTGTCAGTCCCTCCTGGACAACTTAAGCTCGTACGTATCTGCCCTGAACTCAAATGTCACTGGACCAGAACCAGGAAGTACCCGTGTGTTCTCTGGGACTCGCTGATAGATGGTATTTGGGATTTAAGATGTGGGGTGATCTCAAGCAATGACAATGATTTTTTTATAACGACAAGAAGAAAAACACACACTGGTCCTCCTCTCTCTCTGGTCCTCCTCTTTCTAGTCCTACTCTCTCTGCACCTCCTCTCTCTGGTTCTCCTCCTCTTTCTAGTCCTACTCTCTCTCTGGTCCTCCTCTCTCTAGTCCCCCTCTGTCTGGTCCTCCTCTCTCTGGTCCTCCTCTCTCTGGTCCTCCTCTCTCTCTGGTCCTCCTCTCTCTCTGGTCCTCCTCTCTCTCTGGTCCTCCTCTCTCTCTGGTCCTCCTCTCTCTGGTCCTCCTCTCTGTCTGGTCCTCCTCTCTGTCTGGTCCTCCTCTCTCTCTGGTCCTCCTCTCTCTCTGGTCCTCCTCTCTCTCTGATCCTCCTCTCTCTGGTCCTCCTCTCTGTCTGGTCCTCCTCTCTGGTCCTCCTCTCTGTCTGGTCCTCCTCTCTGTCTGGTCCTCCTCTCTGTCTGGTCCTCCTCTCTCTCTGGTCCTCCTCTCTCTCTGGTCCTCCTCTCTCTCTGATCCTCCTCTCTCTGATCCTCCTCTCTCTGGTCCTCCTCTCTGTCTGGTCCTCCTCTCTCTGGTCCTCCTCTCTGTCTGGTCCTCCTCTCTGTCTGGTCCTCCTCTCTCTGGTCCTCCTCTCTGTCTAGTCCTCCTCTCTCTCTAGTCCTCCTCTCTCTCTGGACCTCTCTCTGGTCCTCCTCTCTCTGGTCACCTGGTCCCTAACCCTGACCATGTGTGCAGACTTCCTGGTGACTCCAGGACCAAAGTGGGCTTCATCACGTTCGACAGCACCATCCACTTCTACAACCTGCAGGAAGGACTGTCCCAGCCCCAGATGCTCATCGTGTCCGACATCGAAGGTTATATAACATATATATATACACATATATATGTGTATATAAATATATATTATATATATATATATATATATATATATATATATATATATATATATATATATATATATATATATATATATATATATATTATATATTTTTTATATACACATATATACACATATATTCACAAACATACTGTAGTTATTCATTATTAACTGAGACTGTTTGCTCAGATTTATAAATGTGAAATATTAGGTGTTCCAGGTCTTTGTAATGTGGTTTTTCTGCAAATGGCCAAAAAACTCTAATATGAGTATCAATCAATCAATCAATCAATCAACTTTATTTGTATGGCGCCTTTCCAACACAAGGCCACTCAAAGCGCCTCACAACCCACATAATATCACACAAATCAGAGACATCAATAAATACATTAAAAACAGAATAAAATCACAAGTAATGGAAAAAAAAAAAAAAAAAAAACAACAAAAAAAACTTAAAATATTAAAAGCACACACGGGATTAAAATAATAAATAACCACAATGCATTAAAAAAAAAGAGTATGTATCAATAAAATCCTTCAGCCGTATGCACAGCTAAAAAGAACCGTTTTTAGCCCTGATTTAAAAATTGCCAGAGTAGATGCTAGCCTCACATCTTCAGGAAGACTGTTCCAGATTTTAGCCCCATAAATCTCAAACGCTGCCTCCCCATGTTTAGTTCTGACTCTTGGAACCAGTAAGAGGCTACCTCCTGTGCTCCTCAGAGTCCGGGTCGGTTCATATGGGACTAACAAGTCGCTTAAGTACCCTGGTGCGAGGCCATGGAGAGACTTGTACACAAGCAGTGCTGCTTTGAAGTCTATTCTCTGAGCCACAGGAAGCCAGTGCAGAGACCTGAGAACTGGACTAATGTGGTCATATTTCCTGGTCCTAGTCAGGACTCGAGCTGCAGCATTTTGAATGTACTGCAGCTGTTTTACAGCCTGTTTGGACAGACCTGTGAGCAGGCCATTGCAGTAGTCTAACCTACTGGAGACAAATGCATGGATAAGAATCTCCAGATCTGATTTAGACACTATGTTTCTAATTTTGGCAATGTTTTTCGGATGGTAAAATGCTGCTGATGTTACTGATTTGATATGACTGTTAAAATTTAAGTCTGAGTCCATTATAACTCCTAGGTTTCTGACCTTGCCTACAGGTTCCAGGGAGAGAGACTGGAGGTGACGAATAACGCTCTCTCTTTGTTTCTGGGGACCAAAGACAATCAATTCTGTTTTGTCTGCGTTTAGCTGAAGGAAGTTATTTTGCATCCAATCACTAATCTGTTGAGTACAGTGAAGGAGTGATTCCACTGGTCCATGTTCTCCTGCAGTAAGTGAGACATAAATTTGAGTGTCATCAGCGTAATTGTGGTAGGATACATTGTTGGAGCGTATTAACTGACCTAACGGCAGCATGTAAATATTGAACAGAAGAGGCCCCAGAATTGATCCCTGTGGCACTCCGCAGGTCAGAGCCATATGATCTGAGACACAGTTTCCTATCTGAACCAAGTATTTCCTGTCTTCTAGGTAAGACCTAAACCAACTTAGGGCAGTCCCAGTGACACCCACCCAGTGCTCTAGTCTCTGCATGAGGATCTCGTGGTCGACTGTGTCGAACGCAGCACTCAGATCCAACATTACTAAAACTGTGACTTTTCCTGTGTCGGTGTTAAGTCGGATGTCATTTGTAACCTTCACTAGTGCAGTCTCAGTGCTGTGATTGGCTCTAAAGCCGGACTGGAGCGCATCAAACGAACTATTAGTTTACTAAGAATTCTGTAAGTTGTTGGTAAGCAACTTTTTCCAGAATTTTTCCCATAAACGGCAGATTTGAAATGGGGCGATAATTCTTAAGAACTGTGGCATCTAGACTCCTCTTTTTTAGGAGGGGTCTGATGACTGCCGTTTTCAGGGCCATTGGAAATGTTCCAGATGAGAAAGACATGTTCACTATTTGTGTGAGCAAAGGTAAAAGACTGCTCAAAACAGACTTAAAAAATTTAGTGGGTAGTACATCCAGGCTACATGTGGAGGAACTAAGGCTAGAGACAACATCTTGGACAGTTTCATTATCTGTTGGTGCAAAGTGCGATAGCTCAAAAAGATAATATGTGGACAATGTCTGAAGGCTAAGAAATGCTTTTGTCCTGTACCTCCTCATGCCGCCACCAGGGGGAGGTTTTCTAATTTGAGTAATCAAAAAAAAACTATCTTTTAGCTCCGTTCTTTACGTTCTTCCTGATTCATGTCTCACTGGAAAAGTACTTGTTTTATCAATGAAGTGACTCATGTTTAAACTTGTTTTCCTCAGATATATTTTTACCGACACCAGACAGCCTTCTAGTAAACCTCAGTGAGAGTAAAGAGGTAAGGCCTCAGCGGACCTCAGCGGACCCTCAGCAGACCTCATTAGACCCTCATTAAGAACCTCATTAAGACCCTCAGCAGACCTCATTAGACCCTCATTAGACCCTCAGCAGACCTCATTAGACCCTCATTAGACCTCATTAGACCCTCAGCAGACCTCATTAGACCCTCAGCAGACCTCATTAGACCCTCATTAGACCTCAGCAGACCCTCAGCAGACCTCATTAGACCCTCATTAGACCCTCAACAGACCTCATTAGACCCTCATTAAGAACCTCATTAAGACCCTCAGCAGACCTCATTAGACCCTCATTAGACCCTCAGCAGACGTCATTAGACCCTCAGCAGACCTCATTAGACCCTCAGCAGACCTCATTAGACCCTCAGCAGACCTCATTAGACCCTCAGCAGACCTCATTAGACCCTCATTAAGAACCTCATTAAGACCCTCAGCAGACCTCATTAGACCCTCAGCAGACCCTCAGCAGACCTCATTAGACCCTCATTAGACCCTCAGCAGACCTCATTAGACCCTCAGCAGACCTCATTAGACCCTCATTAGACCTCAGCAGACCCTCAGCAGACCCTCAGCAGACCTCATTAGACCCTCATTAGACCTCATTAGACCCTCAGCAGACCTCATTAGACCCTCATTAAGAACCTCATTAAGACCCTCAGCAGACCTCATTAGACCCTCAGCAGACCTCATTAGACCCTCAGCAGACCTCATTAGACCCTCAGCAGACCTCATTAGACCCTCATTAAGAACCTCATTAGACCCTCAGCAGACCTCATTAGACCCTCAGCAGACGTCATTAGACCCTCAGCAGACCTCATTAGACCTCATTAGACCCTCAGCAGACCTCATTAGACCCTCAGCAGACCTCATTAGACCCTCAGCAGACCTCATTAGACCCTCAGCAGACCTCATTAGACCCTCAGCAGACCCTCAGCAGACCCTCATTAGACCTCATTAGACCCTCAGCAGACCCTCAGCAGACCTCATTAGACCTCAGCAGACCCTCAGCAGACCCTATTAGACCCTCAGCAGACCTCATTAGACGTCATTAGACCCTCAGCAGACCTCATTAGACCCTCAGCAGACCTCATTAGACCCTCATTAAGACCCTCAGCAGACCTCATTAGACCTTATTAGACCTCATTAGACCTCATTAGACCTCAGCAGACCCTCAGCAGACCCTCATCAGACCCTTATTAGACCCTCAGCAGACCCTCAGCAGACCCACAGCAGACCTCATTAGACCCTCAGCAGACCTCATTAGACCCTCAGCAGACCCTCAGCAGACCTCATTAGACCCTCAGCAGACCCTCAGCAGACCCTCATTAGACCCTCAGCAGACCTCATTAGACCCTCAGCAGACCTCATTAGACCCTCAGCAGACCTCATTAGACCCTCAGCAGACCTCATTAGACCCTCAGCAGACCTCATTAGACCCTCAGCAGACCTCATTAGACCCTCAGCAGACCTCATTAGACCCTCAGCAGACCTCATTAGACCCTCAGCAGACCTCATTAGACCCTCAGCAGACCTCATTAGACCCTCAGCAGACCTCATTAGAACCTCAGCAGACCTCATTAGACCCTCAGCAGACCTCATTAGACCCTCAGCAGACCTCATTAGACCCTCAGCAGACCTCATTAGACCCTCAGCAGACCTCATTAGACCCTCATTAAGACCCTCAGCAGACCTCATTAGACCCTCAGCAGACCTCATTAGACCTCAGCAGACCCTCAGCAGACCCTCATCAGACCCTTATTAGACCCTCAGCAGACCCTCAGCAGACCCACAGCAGACCTCATTAGACCCTCAGCAGACCTCAGCAGACCTCATTAGACCCTCAGCAGACCTCAGCAGACCTCATTAGACCTCATTAGACCCTCAGCAGACCCTCATTAGACCCTCAGCAGACCCTCAGCAGACCCTCAGCAGACCCTCATTAGACCCTCAGCAGACCTCAGCAGACCTCATTAGACCCTCAGCAGACCCTCAGCAGACCTCATTAGACCTCATTAGACCCTCAGCAGACCCTCATTAGACCCTCAGCAGACCCTCATTAGACCCTCAGCAGACCCTCAGCAGACCCTCAGCAGACCCTCATTAGACCCTCAGCAGCAGACCTCAGCAGACCTCATTAGACCCTCAGCAGACCCTCAGCAGACCCTCAGCAGACCTCATTAGACCTCATTAGACCCTCAGCAGACCCTCATTAGACCCTCATTAGACCCTCAGCAGACCCTCAGCAGACCCTCAGCAGACCCTCATTAGACCCTCAGCAGACCTCAGCAGACCTCATTAGACCATCAGCAGACCCTCAGCAGACCTCATAAGACCTCATTAGACCCTCAGCAGACCCTCATTAGACCCTCAGCAGACCCTCATTAGACCCTCATTAGACCCTCAGCAGACCCTCAGCAGACCCTCAGCAGACCCTCATTAGACCCTCAGCAGACCTCAGCAGACCTCATTAGACCATCAGCAGACCCTCAGCAGACCTCATTAGACCTCATTAGACCCTCAGCAGACCCTCATTAGACCCTCAGCAGACCCTCATTAGACCCTCATTAGACCCTCAGCAGACCTCATCAGACCCTCAGCAGACCTCATCAGACCCTCAGCAGACCATGTGTGTTGTTTTCAGCTGGTGCAGGACCTGTTGAAGAGTTTGCCCACCATGTTTGAGAAAAGCATGGAGACACAGTCTGCTCTGGGCTCCGCGCTGCAGGCCGCCTTCAAACTGCTGTCCCCGACCGGAGGAAGGATGTCTGTGTTTCAGACCCAGCTGCCCAACCTCGGGGCGGGGGCCCTGCAGTCCAGAGAGGACCCCAACCAGAGGGCAGCGGCCAAGGTGAGGCGTGTGTGTGTGTGTGTGTCTCTGTGTGTGAGAGAGAGGACCCCAACCAGAGGGCAGCGGCCAAGGTGAGACGTGTGTGTGTGTGTGTCTCTGTGTGTGAGAGAGAGGACCCCAACCAGAGGGCAGCGGCCAAGGTGAGACGTGTGTGTGTGTGTCTCTGTGTGTTTGTCTCTGTGTGTGAGACAATTGTACAGACAGCGATGTTATTACCGTTTATTTTGCCTCTGTAAATCCCTCTGATCTAAAGCTGTGTTTTGTTCCAGGACGTGCAGCACTTGTCTCCTGCCACAGACTTCTATAAGAAACTGGCGCTGGACTGTTCTGGCCAGCAGGTGGCAGTAGACCTGTTCCTGCTGAGTGCACAGTACTGTGACCTGGCCTCTCTGGGTACGATCCACTCGGCCTCATATACTATTTATATATTATCTGTTATTTATTTCAACCTTGTAGACAGGAATCATTTGTGATTTACAGTAATTACATATTTTACATGATAGAAACGTTTTCTTTTTTCACTCCTGTCAAAGCTCTAAAAGGAGTGAGAAGTCATAACCTCCTGCTCCTTATACCTACATTCACCTTAATATTAACCACTATAATAATCTCTTACCCATAATCCTCTGCGTCTCAGGCTGCATTTCCAGATACTCCGCCGGCTCCGTCTATTATTACCCCTCGTACCATCAGCAGCACAGTCCTGCTCAGGTCGAACGCTTCCAGAAAGATCTCAAGAGATATTTAACTCGGAAGATCGGCTTCGAGGCCGTGATGAGGATCCGCTGCACCAAAGGTAACACTCTAGACCCGGGGCCGTGGGGCCGGGGCCCCGTGGACCCGAGGCCGTGGACCCGAGGCCGTAGACCCAGTCTGTTGTGTCTGTACTCATATTATTCTCTCCTCCTTCAGGCCTCTCCATCCACACGTTCCATGGAAACTTCTTCGTCCGCTCCACAGATCTGCTGTCGCTGCCGAACGTGAACCCAGACGCTGGGTTTGCGGTTCAGATGTCGATCGACGAGAACCTGGACGACCTTCAGGTGGTGTCCTTCCAGGCTGCGCTGCTCTACACCTCCAGCAAAGGTGGGCTCTCTGCTCTACTCCATCCTACTCCACCCTACTCCATCCTACTCCACTCTATCCCACCCACCCTACTCCATCCTACTCCACCCTACCCTACTCCACCCTACTCCATCCTACTCCACTCTATCCCACCCACCCTACTGCATCCTACTCCACTCTATCCCACCCACCCTACTCCATCCTACTCCACTCTATCCCACCCACCCTACTCCATCCTACTCCACTCTATCCCACCCACCCTACTCCATCCTACTCCACTCTATCCCACCCACCCTACTCCACCCTACCCCACCCTACCCTACTCCACTCCACCCTACTCCACCCTACCCTACTCCACCCCACCCTACCCTACTCCACTCCACCCTACTCCACCCTACCCTACTCCACCCTACTCCATCCTACTCCACCCCACCCTACTCCACCCTACCCTACTCCATCCTACTCCACTCTATCCCACCCACCCTACTCCATCCTACTCCACTCTATCCCACCCACCCTACTCCACCCTACCCTACTCCACTCCACCCTACTCCACCCTACCCTACTCCACCCTACTCCACCCTACCCTACTCCACCCTACTCCATCCTACTCCACCCTACCCTACTCCACCCTACTCCATCCTACTCCACCCTACTCCATCCTACTCCACCCTACGATAGCTGTGTGTTTTGGACAGTGCTGTAATGAGTCTGTTTTCCTTCAGGAGAGAGGAGGATCCGAGTCCACACCCTGTGCCTCCCTGTGGTCAACTCTCTGGCAGACATCTTTGCAGGAGCTGATGTTCAGGCCATCACTGGGCTCTTGGCCTGTATGGGTGAGTCACTCTGTTTATATATTACTGTTAGATATTATTATTGTATATAGATATTACAACTGTGTATATCCACTATAACTGTGTATATTCACTATAACTGTGTATATCCACTATAACTGTGTATATTCACTATAACTGTGTATATCCACTATAACTGTTTATATCCACTATAACTGTGTATATTCACTATAACTGTGTATATTCACTATAACTGTGTATATTCACTATAACTGTGTATATCCACTATAACTGTGTATATCCACTATAACTGTGTATATTCACTATAACTGTGTATATCCACTATAACTGTGTATATCCACTATAACTGTGTATATCCACTATAACTGTGTATATTCACTATAACTGTGTATATTCACTATAACTGTGTATATTCACTATAACTGTGTATATTCACTATAACTGTGTATATTCACTATAACTGTGTATATTCACTATAACTGTGTATATCCACTATAACTGTGTATATCCACTATAACTGTGTATATCCACTATAACTGTGTATATCCACTATAACTGTGTTATTATAACTATATATCACTGTGTAACCTATATCCACTATAACTGTGTATATCCACTATAACTGTGTATATTCACTATAACTGTGTATATTCACTATAACTGTGTATATTCACTATAACTGTGTATATTCACTATAACTGTGTATATCCACTATAACTGTGTATATCCACTATAACTGTGTATATCCACTATAACTGTGTATATTCACTATAACTGTGTATATCCACTATAACTGTGTATATCCACTATAACTGTGTATATTCACTATAACTGTGTATATCCACTATAACTGTGTATAAGTATGTATAATATATGTGTGTTACTGTTTGCAGCCGTGGATCGCTCGGTCACAGCGAGTCTGAGCGACGCCAGAGACGCTTTAACGAACGCTGCGGTGGATTCTCTGTCGTGTTATCGTCAGTCTGTGCTCACCATCCAACAGCCAGGACTGCTCTCCCCCTGCTGTCTCAGGCTGTTCCCTCTGTATGTCCTGGCTCTACATAAACAGGTAACAGGTAACCCCCCCCTGCTGTCTCAGGCTGTTCCCTCTGTATGTCCTGGCTCTACATAAACAGGTAACCCCCCCTGCTGTCTCAGGCTGTTCCCTCTGTATGTCCTGGCTCTACATAAACAGGTAACCCCCCCCTGCTGTCTCAGGCTGTTCCCTCTGTATGTCCTGGCTCTACATAAACAGGTAACCCCCCCCTGCTGTCTCAGGCTGTTCCCTCTGTATGTCCTGGCTCTACATAAACAGGTAACCCCCCCTGCTGTCTCAGGCTGTTCCCTCTGTATGTCCTGGCTCTACATAAACAGGTAACCCCCCCTGCTGTCTCAGGCTGTTCCCTCTGTATGTCCTGGCTCTACATAAACAGGTGACCCCCCCTGCTGTCTCAGGCTGTTCCCTCTGTATGTCCTGGCTCTACATAAACAGGTAACCCCCCCCTGCTGTCTCAGGCTGTTCCCTCTGTATGTCCTGGCTCTACATAAACAGGTAACCCCCCCCTGCTGTCTCAGGCTGTTCCTCTGTATGTCCTGGCTCTACATAAACAGGTAACCCCCCCCTGCTGTCTCAGGCTGTTCCCTCTGTATGTCCTGGCTCTACATAAACAGGTAACCCCCCCCTGCTGTCTCAGGCTGTTCCCTCTGTATGTCCTGGCTCTACATAAACAGGTAAACCCCCCCCTGCTGTCTCAGGCTGTTCCCTCTGTATGTCCTGGCTCTACATAAACAGGTAACCCCCCCCCCTGCTGTCTCAGGCTGTTCCCTCTGTATGTCCTGGCTCTACATAAACAGGTAACCCCCCCTGCTGTCTCAGGCTGTTCCCTCTGTATGTCCTGGCTCTACATAAACAGGTAACCCCCCCTGCTGTCTCAGGCTGTTCCCTCTGTATGTCCTGGCTCTACATAAACAGGTAACCCCCCCCTGCTGTCTCAGGCTGTTCCCTCTGTATGTCCTGGCTCTACATAAACAGGTAACCCCCCCTGCTGTCTCAGGCTGTTCCCTCTGTATGTCCTGGCTCTACATAAACAGGTAACCCCCCCTGCTGTCTCAGGCTGTTCCCTCTGTATGTCCTGGCTCTACATAAACAGGTAACCCCCCCCTGCTGTCTCAGGCTGTTCCCTCTGTATGTCCTGGCTCTACATAAACAGGTAACCCCCCCCGCTGTCTCAGGCTGTTCCCTCTGTATGTCCTGGCTCTACATAAACAGGTAACCCCCCCTGCTGTCTCAGGCTGTTCCCTCTGTATGTCCTGCTCTACATAAACAGGTAACCCCCCCTGCTGTCTCAGGCTGTTCCCTCTGTATGTCCTGGCTCTACATAAACAGGTAACCCCCCCTGCTGTCTCAGGCTGTTCCCTCTGTATGTCCTGGCTCTACATAAACAGGTAACCCCCCCCTGCTGTCTCAGGCTGTTCCCTCTGTATGTCCTGGCTCTACATAAACAGGTAACCCCCCCCTGCTGTCTCAGGCTGTTCCCTCTGTATGTCCTGGCTCTACATAAACAGGTAACCCCCCCCTGCTGTCTCAGGCTGTTCCCTCTGTATGTCCTGGCTCTACATAAACAGGTAACCCCCCCCTGCTGTCTCAGGCTGTTCCCTCTGTATGTCCTGGCTCTACATAAACAGGTAACCCCCCCTGCTGTCTCAGGCTGTTCCCTCTGTATGTCCTGGCTCTACATAAACAGGTAACCCCCCCCTGCTGTCTCAGGCTGTTCCCTCTGTATGTCCTGGCTCTACATAAACAGGTAACCCCCCCCTGCTGTCTCAGGCTGTTCCCTCTGTATGTCCTGGCTCTACATAAACAGGTAACCCCCCCCTGCTGTCTCAGGCTGTTCCCTCTGTATGTCCTGGCTCTACATAAACAGGTAACCCCCCCTGCTGTCTCAGGCTGTTCCCTCTGTATGTCCTGGCTCTACATAAACAGGTAACCCCCCCCTGCTGTCTCAGGCTGTTCCCTCTGTATGTCCTGGCTCTACATAAACAGGTAACCCCCCCTGCTGTCTCAGGCTGTTCCCTCTGTATGTCCTGGCTCTACATAAACAGGTAACCCCCCCCTGCTGTCTCAGGCTGTTCCCTCTGTATGTCCTGCTCTACATAAACAGGTAACCCCCCCCTGCTGTCTCAGGCTGTTCCCTCTGTATGTCCTGGCTCTACATAAACAGGTAACCCCCCCCTGCTGTCTCAGGCTGTTCCCTCTGTATGTCCTGGCTCTACATAAACAGGTAACCCCCCCCCTGCTGTCTCAGGCTGTTCCCTCTGTATGTCCTGCTCTACATAAACAGGTAACCCCCCCCTGCTGTCTCAGGCTGTTCCCTCTGTATGTCCTGCTCTACATAAACAGGTAACCCCCCCCTGCTGTCTCAGGCTGTTCCCTCTGTATGTCCTGGCTCTACATAAACAAGTGTGTTACAGAAAGCCTTCAGAGTGTGTGTGTGTGTTACAGAAAGCCTTCAGAGTGTGTGTTACAGAAAGCCTTCAGTGTGTGTGTGTGTGTGTGTGTTACAGAAAGCCTTCAGTGTGTGTGTGTGTGTGTGTGTGTGTTACAGAAAGCCTTCAGAGTGTGTGTTTGTGTGTTACAGAAAGCCTTCAGAGTGTGTGTGTGTTTGTGTGTTACAGAAAGCCTTCAGAGTGTGTGTGTGTTTGTGTGTTACAGAAAGCCTTCAGAGTGTGTGTTTGTGTGTTACAGAAAGCCTTCAGAGTGTGTGTGTGTTACAGAAAGCCTTCAGTGTGTGTGTGTGTTACAGAAAGCCTTCAGTGTGTGTGTGTGTTACAGAAAGCCTTCAGTGTGTGTGTGTGTGTGTGTGTTAGAGAAAGCCTTCAGAGTGTGTGTTTGTGTGTTACAGAAAGCCTTCAGAGTGTGTGTGTGTTACAGAAAGCCTTCAGTGTGTGTGTGTGTGTGTGTGTTACAGAAAGCCTTCAGAGTGGGGACCAGCACTCGTCTGGATGACCGTGTGTTTGCCATGTGTCAGCTCAAGTACCAGCCTCTGGTCTACGCCATGTTAATGATCCACCCTGCACTGTACCGGCTGGACGACCTCACAGACCAGGTGAGACCTCACAGACCAGGTGAGACCTCACAGACCAGGTGAGACCTCACAGACCAGGTGAGGACTTCACAGACCAGGTGAGACCTCACAGACCAGGTGAGCCCTCACAGACCAGGTGAGACCTCACAGACCAGGTGAGGACCTCACAGACCAGGTGAGGACCTCACAGACCAGGTGAGGACCTCACAGACCAGGTGAGACCTCACAGACCAGGTGAGACCTCACAGACCAGGTGAGACCTCACAGACCAGGTGGGACCTCACAGACCAGGTGGGACCTCACAGACCAGGTGGGACCTCACAGACCAGGTGGGACCTCACAGACCAGGTGGGACCTCACAGACCAGGTGGGACCTCACAGACCAGGTGAGACCTCACAGACCAGGTGGGGACCTCACAGACCAGGTGGGGACCTCACAGACCAGGTGGGGACCTCACAGACCAGGTGAGGACCTCACAGACCAGGTGAGACCTCACAGACCAGGTGAGACCTCACAGACCAGGTGAGACCTCACAGACCAGGTGAGACCTCACAGACCAGGTGAGGACCTCACAGACCAGGTGAGGACCTCACAGACCCAAGGGAACTA